AAAGAGTTAACAATGTCTAAAACGGCAAATTGACGGCCGATTCTGGACTGCCCCAAACTACAATATGTTGCTTTTGGTAAAACTCGTTTTACCTTTTTGAACCTTGGTAAGATATATTACGTAACACCATTCAATGGTGGAAGTGTTGTTTTGACCTTCATTACAAGATCTTGACTACTTCTATCCCTAACAGTACGAATCATATTGTCTTTGGCATTGCGGGCCACATTCCTTGCAGATGTTTCTCGGCAGTCAATGTGATAAGCAAAGACCTCTGGGCTGGCTAAACCTCGGATTTTTGAAATCTTCTTGATTTTTGAGTTTGGCTGTTATAGTCCTGTTTTCGCCGCTCAAAAAAGTACTTTTTAAGGAGTGGGACCCCATTATATATGTTTGGTTGGATTTATTCTTTATCTCCCCACTTTCGTGAAAATTCCCTAAAATTTATTGCCAACTAAATTTTACCATCTCTTCCCGTTAAATGTATTCCTTTTTAGAATAATTAATTTTTGCATTTAGAAACACACGAAAACCCTCTGCACGTTTTTATCCTCTGAAAAGTCTATTGACTTATGGGGAAAGCCCTTTGGCATAAAAAGGTTACACTTTTCGTTTCCCCTTCTTTTCACAACATTCCCCCTTTTAGTCCCACGTCTATCCGACAAGGTGATATCATACGTAAATACCAACCCACACATTCTTGTCTCAAGTTCTAAAAAAACTTATGAAAAAATTATACTTTTCATGAACGAGATCGCATTTCTAGATAATGTGAGCCTCCTTCCGTCTGATAATATCGTTCTGCCTAAAATCATGCATATTTTCATTTGCCGTATGCTTAGTTTTTGAGAATCGTTCATATTCTTCCTTTTCGATTCATTTTACGAATCATGTAAGTTCAAACAATTAGCAGTTTTATAAATGGTCAAGCGAATGTTAGTGGGGAGTAACCACCAATTTTCTGTGTTTTCTATTCATTGGCATCCAATTATTCCTAAGCCTCACACCCTTCCACCACCACCCTCCCCCCCCCGCCCATCCGATCCTCTTCTCTTGCGTACTTTGCTCAACGTCTTAGTCAAAATGTCTGAGTCAGAACTCTAATGTGACCGCCAAAGCCTCCCGCTATAGGATGATGTTCGGTTACTATCTCTTTACGATGGAGTTGAGTATCACAGAAAGTTTTTGCATACTCGTTACTGCCATTTTCACTCACTTAAGGAAACGTGCGACGAATTGGGCGTCATAAGTTTTCGCCATGAACTCTTCCATTTCCATTGTGTATTTTGTTTAAATGAAATCTTCTGAAAGTGTTCGCAAATAATTGACCGCTAAGCCTACCGCTGCAAAACGATGTTCCGTTAATATCTATTACGATGGAGTTGCGCAATTTTGCACAAACGCATTAATCGCTGAAATGGAAGTCATGAATTTTTCCGCACTCATAACAGGCACACTGACGTCTCCACGTGGGTGGAATTTTTTTCTTGAAAGGCTGGGAAAACTGGCGGAAGGGAGAGTTCTTGTATAATTTTTAAGAACTATCCATTATTATTCTAACTTGATAATATCACCAGCAATTTACTTTCCTTTCTCTCCCGCCCACTTCCTAACCTTCAACATTAAAATAATCCTCTACTCCAAAGTCTCATAGTGGTTCTCGCCAGCAATGATGCATGAAATCAAATTCACCGAGTGAACTATAGAATAGCCGTGACCAAGTGAAATAGAGCACTTCGCGGAAAAATACACAGAGAAGACCGTGGACGGATTAACACATTGAAAAACGTTTTGTAGTGACCGTGACCAGGCGATCTGGTTTTTTTGCAAGGTTCTAAATAAATACGACGGGTGCAAGGGAAATGTTCATTTGCGTTTTTGAATTCAAAAAAACCTGGATTTCTTTGCTTCCCTGCCACTATCACAGAAGTAGTGAGTTTTTGAAGTTATTGAAGCTAGGATCTTTACTAAAGCGTTTTTTGGCTGAATATTTCCTTCCTTGGAAATCGAAGTCTTTTATACCCATTCGGTATTTCATGCTTCTTGAACATTAGCTAGTTAGTTCACTTATTTATTCATTAAATCGTTCATTGATGCACTCATTCATCCAATACATCCACTTTTTCCGCAAAACATTGAAAGAAATCTAGTTCGTCTTTTTTTTGTTGGTTCCTCTTTACAAGCCCTGTTATAAAAGTACTTGCGAACAAGATTCCTACTAGAAACTCGAGTTTCGTTATTTACAACTTCTCAGTTATTTGAATCCTAATCTCGAAACCTAATTTTCTAAATCCTTTGCTTGCCTTTCGCATCTCACTAAATCAAGATTCTCGCAGTTCATTCATCTTGTTTCCGACTTTCTGTGATGTTGATTTGTTTCTAAATATAACGCATGTATTCTACACTCCAGCTTCCGCTCAAGCTGAAATTCAATACTCTGTTTGTGTTCACGTTTTCTAGTCGGAAATCCTTTTAGCCGAGAATAATCTAGTGATCCTTGGTGACATCTAATCACTTTTTTGCCTACGGCAGATTCTTGAGCAGGGCAACTGCTTTATGGTTCTGGATAAATAAGATCTGTTCTGTGGTCTTTCCTTTCCTTGAAGGGTTCCCAAAAATACTTTGCATTTTTGTCATTTATAGACCAGACCAGTTTTTGATTCATTTTTTGGAGTTCCCTGAATCAAAATTCTGGAGACATACGAGAGAAACTAAAGTACATCTCTCAAATTTATTGTAGAGTGTTTTAGACAAGTTCCTTGAAGGCCGATCTTTCCTTGATGAGTCACAAAACCTACGGCTTCCGCTATAAATCTTTTTCTCGACTTCTTTCGTGATCAGCTGTTTTCTTGCTTTTCTTTTTGTCCTTTTCTTCTAGCAAATGTACCTAGACACCTAATAACCCGGTATTAACATATGTATGCTGAGCACTCTTATCTCATTGAATCTCTTGAAGCTAAACAAGAAGTTTTTCGCAACTCATCTATAGTAAAACAACATCATGATTTATTGAATTTGTTTTAAATAATGGATAGTGTACTAGATGTAGAGTTGTGCACTGGACCGTATGACCCTCAGCGACCAAAGCGAAGATCAGACAAGGTCCAAAAATTTGCCTCTATTTTGAATTTTTATGAGTTGAAATCGAATTATAGAGATTATTTGGGCTTTGACAAATGACCTCTGGTATCTGAACTTCCACAAACAACTCTTTGGCATTCAAAAAACTTGAATTATCGATTGATAGAATCCTAAAAATTCGGAAACTAAAATTTAAAAAATTTATAACTAGTTCTTGGTCTGCCTAAGCCGATCCTCTGATGATCAACATTCTTCTCTAAACACTGAAGCGTGCAGTTGTAACGGAGGAATTATTCAGTGACCTTTCCAATATAAATCCATTTTTGTTACGCGGAAGAATCAAATGCCTTTTCGAGAATCTGGGTGGTAGACTTAATGTATGAGGATAATTGCCAACGAAAAACATTTTCATCCATTTTTTATGTTCATCTCTTTTTATAGCTCATTGATTGCAAAACTGTTGTACAACTATTGTATCTTTGTCGCAATAACATATCGTGCTCGTTTCTGAATTACTACTGAAGTACTTGAATTATTACTGAATTTTTGCAGGTTGCACTTCTGCACCAACGAAGCGTGGTCATCACATGCTGCACTTACTATTTTGGCCTATTATAAACAGTCACCGAACCGAATGTCCGAGGCCTGAATTAGGAACTTCCCACCATGAATTTACACTTCTGCTTTCTATCCTATAATCAGGTATTGAAGTAAGTCAGTAATCGCCAAAATTGTTCTTTGGAGCATGACACCAAATTTTTCTTGAATTCTCGTAACGGATTTTGGAAGAAAACTGAAAAAAAACGAAGAGCACGGAAAAAATCCCCTCTCCTCTCTTTGAAAGGTCTGGAGGCATTTTTTACTAGCTTTTACATACTAAGTGCATATGCTTATGATTGATTTCCTTTTTTTGTGCTAATGCGGATGGATTGCTTACTAAAATCTTTTCTATCCTCATTGTCCAGATACTCCTATCCATGTTATTGCATAGCTTGTTGACAGTGAAATTTTCAGGAAAAAAATAAGTTTTACGGCAAATCTTCATTTTTACTCATTTTTAGAGTTTGTCCTGTTTGGTTGAATGCTTTTATGTTCCAAAAATCTTTTTAAACGTCAAAATGTTATCGCTAGACTTACTTGAACCACTACGGTAACACAGCACCGCACTTGCGTCATTGTGGTCCCTGGAACCCTTGGTACCCTTTCTATATTCGTCCTAGGAATTCATCATTTGATGATCTACAATTCTTCCAAAACCGAGAATCCGCAGTACGAATGCGGTTGCAAAGGAAGTCAAGGCCAAAAAAAATCTTGCGGCGCTAGCAACCCCCACATTTAGCCGATTTCTTGTTGGCTGTATGTCCTTTCTTAGCAAGCGCTCCAAAAATGGTATATTTTTTACAGTTCACAAAAAAATCTATCAAGCTTGAAGAGCTTCGATTGCTCGTCTTCCATCGCTCCATTAGGTCTCGGTTGCACTTGATGAGGTCATCGGATGTCCACTTGCAGACGTTCTCATCATTGGATTATTTATGGAGTTCGGTGAATTCAATTACTTCCGTAGCATTTAGGTCAAGGAAAACTCATACGGTTGAGGATTCAAATCGTGTTTCCGCAAAATCTCATTCTATTGCATTCTGTTTTTTTTTACGTTATGAGGATGGTACCTGTCTTACTGTTATGGTCATCTCAACAAAGAAAAAGTTATTGCAGGGAAGCTTTCAGAGTAGTGAGGGGGCTGAGAAAGCGAAGAAGTTAACGATGCCAAAGGCGGAAAATTGTCGGCAGATTCTGAATTGCATCATCGAATTAAAATATATTACTTTCGGTCAAACTCTTCTTACCATTTTTAATTCTCGTAAGACAAATATATAAGAGACTCCATAGGCGGGACAAGTTCTTTTGACCTCCATTCCAAGATGTTGACTACTTTCCCTAACAGTATGAATCATGTCTTTGGCCTGGCGGTCCACACTCTTTGCAGATGTTTCTCGGCAGTCACTGATGTTAGCAAAGCTGAGCTGGAAAAAGTTTAGATATCCTAGGTTTTAAGTTTGGCTATAGCCTTCTGTTTTCGCTTTTGAAAAGATCTTTTCGAGAGCGGGTTTCCCATCGCGTGTATATGTATGTGACTGGGTTAATATTCGATCTCCCATAATGCACTTTTGTTGTCCGAAGTATCTCTTGATGTTTTCGGCTGATAATGGCAATATTGTCCAAAAATTCAAGTATGAAGATCAGTCAAGTCGTTGTCGTGATTTCTATATATTTCACTCATGCAAAATTTCTTCGTTGCATTTTGCGTTTGAAAGGAAAAACATTTGAGTTGCAAGCCACTTTCACCTATTCTTTTCTCCAAATTATCTTTCCGGCTTTGTGCCAAGCGAGAGATCATCAATCAAGACACGGCTGTTCATGGCACCTCGTAAAAGATCGTAGACGTATGTGAAACTTTTCGGGTCTTCACCTCAGGCGCGTGAATCTATGCTCTGAAAATTTGAATTTTTCCACAAAAAATCCTCAAGTCAAATTCGGCTTGCATCTTTTGCCTCACTTGCTTCTCACGGATGAATGACTTTTTGCATTCAGAAATACATGGAAACCCCTTTGCGGGTTTTTTATCCAGCCAAAAACCTGTTGAATTATGAGCAAAGCCCTTGCACACATAAAAAATGCTTTGCTTTCCGTTTTCCCTTCTCTCCATGACATAATTCCTTCCCTTTTCCTCCCACGTCTGTTCGACAAAGTGACTTTCATGTATGAATACCAACCCACACATATTTGTCCTAAGGAAAAAATTTGTGAAGAAGTTGAGAGACATATTAATCGCATGGTCGGACTTTTGAAAAAAAAAACTATGCTCTTTATGAAAGAGATCGCATTTCTAAATGTGAGCCTCTTTCTCTGCCGGATGAGTTCGTTGCCTAAAACGCAAATTTGCAATTGCTGTATGCTCAATTTTTGGAATCGTTCATATTCTCCCTATTCGATTTATTTCACGAATTATGAAAGATTAATTAGCAATTTCATTTATGCTTAGCAACTGATGGTGGAAAGTAATACCAATTTTTGTGTCCTCTATTCATTTCCATCTACTCTTGAGCCTTACACTCTTTCACCACTCTCTTCTCCAACTCTCGTTCCCCCCCCCCCCCCCACTTGTCTCCGTTTTGCGTACTTTGCTCAACAGATTCCTTCACAACTCTAATGTGACCGCCAAAGCCTCCCGCTATGAAATGATGTTCCGTTACTATCCTTTTACGATGGAGATGAGTATTACAGTAACGTTTTGCATTCTCGTTACTGCTATTTTCTCAAACTTATGGCTTGATGCGCGGCGAATTGGAAGTCATAAATTTTTTCGCACTTACAACATGCAAAATTTTTTCTTTTTGGGAACGCTTCGCCTTCCAGCCGTCAAGCCAGTTGAATCAAAGGTTACGCCTAGTTGATAACGTCAACTGCAACTTATGCCCCCCCCCCCCACTTCTTTGTCATTCTAGCCTTTTTAACAATTTTTTTCAAACAACAACCCAATACCTCCAAAGTATCACAGTGGTTCTCGCCAGCAGTGATGCGTAAAATTGAATTCAACGGAGAACTGTACACAATAGCCCTGAACGAGTGAAATAGAGCACTTCGATGAAAATACACAGAGAAGACCGTGGAAGGATTAACTCTGAAAACGTTTTGTAGCGATTGTAGCCAGTCGATCTGGTTTTTTGCAAGATACTAAATAAATACGGCGGGTGCAAGGGAAATGTTCTGAGCCTTCTGTAAGCATTCGAAAAATTCTGGAAGTTTTTCTGCTTTTGCTCAATATCAAGGTTATTGAGAATCTAAAGTAGGTAAAACATGAATCTGAATCTACATTTTTTATTGGATGCTTTTTTCTCCACCTTTTTAGATCGAAATCGTTACTGATCCATTGCGTTCCCGTCTTCTTGAGCATCAGTCAGTTCATTCATTTATTTATTCAATAGATTGTTCATTGGTGCAAACTTTGATTCAACTGGATTGGCGGCTGAAACGGGGCTTCGTAACCTATTTTAGGCAGTTTGCGCCCGCGACGCAGTCTGCGTCTCTCTCGCGTGCGTACGCTCTGATCATTCTCTAGCCTTAACTGGGTCACGAAGCCCCGCCTTCCAGCTGCCAATCCAGAATCAAAGGGTACTTATTCAACCAAGTCATCCGCTTACTCTTTCCGACAAAAAGATGAAAATTTTTTTTTGTTTTTCATTCTTCCCTAAGAGTCCTGTCACAAAAACTTTGTGTTAAAATCAGTAAAACTAGAATTCTATTTCAGAATGCGATTTCTTTCAGATTATCGAATGTTCTCTACATATTCAATTATATCCTTTACTCATTTTGCAAGCACATTTTAGTTTTCTGAACTGGCTTTCTTCTTATCCCTCACCGTCTTTCCGAATTTCACACATCTTGTTTTCGACTTTCAGAGATGTTGATGCGTTTCTAAATATAACGCATGTAGGCTCGAGATGTACTCCAGCTTCCGCTCAAGTCGAAATTCAATACTTTGTTCGTGTTCACGTTTTCTTATGGCGAATCTCTTTAGCCGAGGATAATCTGATGATTTTCGGTGACAATCCAGTCACTCTTTTGCCTACGGCAACTCTGGGCAGAGCAGTTGTTTTGCGGTTCGGTTACACTGGATTTTGTTCTGTGGTCTTTCTTTGGTTTTTTGGTTCTTTTTAAATTTCAAGACTGAGCTGCAGCCACAAAGTTCCTTTCATATGGGAATAAATTTTAGCTTAGGAACGTTTAACAAAAACTTTTTGAGGACGTGCAAGAAAAAAATAAAGCCAGATCTCTGATTCGTTGTAAGGTGCTCTAGACAAGTTCTTTGAAGGCCGACCTCTCCTTGATGATCAAAAAATCTTCGGCATCATCCATAAATCTTTTTTCGACTTTCGCCTCGACTTGTTCCGAGATCAGCCAGCTGTTGTCTCGTTTTTCTCGCGTATTTGAGCTAATTGCGCTAAACTTATGTGAGCAGAGTACGTAAATACACAAATCACATTTTGTGCATCCGAAAAGAATTTAAGTCATAGTGTATTCCAACCCATTTTCAATTACTCTCCATGCGCTAAACATCAAACATTCTCGCAGTTCATCTTTTTTCAGCAAGGCGCACCATCATGATTCATTGAATTTGTTTTGAATTATTGATAGTGTACGTCCAATGGAGTTTGTGCACTGAACCGTTTGGTACCCCGACGACCAGAGCAAAGACCAGACAAAGTCCGAAAGTTTTTCGAAAGTCTATTTTGAAATGCTGGAGTTCATCTCGTAATCGGCTTATGTGCATTCACACACATCGTGTCATACAATTTGAACTAACTTAAAGGCAATCTAAAGATTTGGAATTCGCTCACAAACCTCTGACTTGCCATGTAGTCCCAGCTTCAGTTTATCGACACTGAGGAAATCCCATATATTACAAGTAACCGGAAATGAATTTTTTATTTACTGGATATGCCAACAAGAAGCAACTTTTATCTTATTTTATGTTCATCTCTGTTTTATAGCTCACTCATTGCAAAATACTGTACAACGATTGTTTGTCGCAATTACATATCGTGCTCTTTGAAAATTAATATCGAAGTATTCGTATTATTACTAAATCTTTGCAGGTCGCACTTCTGCAGCACTGGAGCGTAAGCAACCATCCGATGTACTTCCTATTTTCGCCTATTCTAAACAGTCAAGCAGGGGACCATCGTATTCAGACTGTCAGCGGCAAGAAATTGCACTTGTCCTAATCTCTGCTGTGGTCTTTTTTAAAGAGATTAGAGTAAGTCATATGTGAACATAAAGCTCAAAAGCTTAGGTTGCATAATGAAATGAAACATGAAAAAAGACGCTCTCAAAGGCTTAACATCACTGAAATATCCGCTTTCGCACCCCTTTCCTTCTTCATCCAGAAATGCTAATGCTCTGACATGTTCCTAAACTGGAGCCTCGCAGAGGGAGTGTGAATGCAAAGGAAGTGAGGTTCAAAGAAAACAACACTGATCGCCTTGGCATACATGGCTAGTTTTTTATTCTTCGCTGTCTGCATCTCCTTTCTCACAACATGAAAACTGCCTAGTTTTTTTTACATAGGTGGCAAGAACGTCATCAGCTCTTGCACTTTAAAATCGCTTACCTGCTTCATCAAGAGAGTTTGAGGGTTTCGACGCCTCTGCACTTGATGAGGTCATCGGTGTCCGTTCTCCAATGGTCGCTCTCATCACTGGATTATTTCTGGAGTTCGTGTGATTCACTTACATCAGTACCATCTGGATCAAGGAAAACTCATGCGGTTAAGGATTCAAATCGTCCTCAATCTCCCATGTTTTTCTTGCATTCTGTTTTTTTCGCTGTAAGCATGGTACCTCTGCCGCTGCTACGGTAATTCCAATGAGGGAAAAGTCTTTGCTGAGGCAGCTTTTAGGGTGATGGAGGGGGGGGGGGGGGGGGAGAAGGGAAAGAGCTTGCAATGCTAAAGTGCGCACTGATGGCAGATTCTAGATGCACCATCATATTACGTTTGAGACTTTCGGTATGACTTTTCTAAATTTTTTGAAGTCTCGTAAGATAAATATTAAATAGACTTCATTGGCGAGACAAGTTCTTTTGAGCTTCACCCTAAAATATTTATTACTAGTCCTATTCTCATCCCTAACAATACGAATCCGTCTCTGCCTTGTGGCCCACAGTCCTTGCAGATGTTTCTCGGCAGTCACTGATGTGATTAGCAAAGACTACTGAACTGGCCAAACTTCAGATTCTTTGGGATCTTCCTGAGTTTCGATAACTTTGTCCTGTTTTCGCCGCTCAAAAAAGACCTCTCAAAAAGAGTGGGGTCCGTCCCCATTATGTATAATCAATTGAGTTGGCATTGATCTCCTCATAATGTGCTTTGTTTGTCTGTATTATTCTTTGCTGTTCTCCGCTGATAATGGCATTATTGCTCCAAATATTCAAGTGCGAAGGACTAGCTAAATCATTGTCGTGTTTTTTATTTATATTTTTCATAGGCAAAATTGTTTTGCAGCATTTTGCATTCGATCAAAAAACCTTTCAAATTGAAGCTACTCTAAGCCGTTTTTTTCCTCACTTTATCTTTCCGACACTTTTGTGGTACATAGGCGAGAGATCATCAATCAAGATACGGCTGTTCATGGCACCTCGTAAAAGATCGAAGACATATGTGGAACTTTTCGGATCTGTAGCTCAGAGGCGTGAAACCGTGCTGATGGAATTTAATTTTTTTTGCAAACAACCATCAAGCCAATTTCGGTATCTTGCATCTCTCAAATATTCGATTGCTTTCCAGGAATAAATGATTTTTTGCATTTAGAAACACATGAAACCCTTCTGCGAGTTTTTGTCCATTTGTAAAGTTATTAAATTATTGAAAAGCCCGCAGGCATAAAAAGGTTATACTTTTCGTTTCGACTTCTTCCATGACTCCCACGTCTATCCAACAAGATGATATCCATATGTGAATACCAGCCCACACATTCTTGTCCCAAGTAAGAAAAAACTTGTGAAAAAAGTTGAATGACATATTTTTGCTTGGCCTCTACATAATTTGAGCCTCCTTCTCTATTTAATAAATTCGTTCTGCATGCTTTTAACAGCAACTTTTTGCATGCTCTTTAGTGCCATTTTCAGAAAGGTACTCTAGTGATGGCGAATTGGAGGGCATAAATTATTTTTCCACATTTACAATATGCGAAATTTTTCTTTTTGGGAACCCAAGCAAATGCGATCAAGAGGCAATTGTTCGTCTAGCTAGAGTTTCACCTTTTTGTCAACGTCAACTGCGACTTACTCCCCTCCCCCTCCCCCCCCCCCCTCCCCGACTTCTTACCATTTCAGAGGCCATAAGAATCATTTTTTCCATACAGTAACCCTATCATACTGATTCTCGCCAGCAATGATGCAAAAATTGTATTCACCTGTCAATCTGTATAGAATGGCCGTGACCGGGTGAAATGGAGCAGTTTGCGGAGAAAAAATACACAACGAAGACTGTGGAAGGATTAACGCATTGAAAAACGTTTTGTAGCGATCTGGTTTTTTGGGGGCCCTAAATAAATACGGTGCAAGGAAAATGTTTCTTCTTAAACATTCAAGCTGAGTCACGTAGACCGGGGATTCAAAGTTCAAAGTTTCAAGCTTGGTTCAAAGTTCTAGAAACTCCTAGAGAGTGACCCTAGATAGATAAAAAATAGATTGTGCGCATTGTTTTTGTATAGTTTATCCAATTTTCTATAGAATATCTTGCACTTGATAAACTTCGCTTAGCCGCACTTATTTCGTTGCGGTTTTAAATTTTTGATAAGTAAACTCCAATATTCTGAAATTTTTCACATCTTTCACCCTTGCTGAATCCGAGCTTTTCGAAGTTCACACGTCTTGTTTTCGACTTTCAGGGATGTTGATGTCTTTCTAAATATAACACATCTATGTAGGCTCGAGATGTACTCAGTCTTCCTCTCAAATTGTTGAAATTCAATGCTCTAGTTTGTGTTCACGTTTTCTGATGGCGATCTGATGATTTTCCTTGACAATCCAGTCACTCTTTACCTGCGGCAATCTGGGTGGAGCAATTGTTTTGCCGTTCAGATATACGAGTTTTGTTCTGTGGTCTTCCTTTAGTTCATGTGCCTTTGAAATCACTTTGCAGCCATAGACTTCCTTTCAAATGGGAATTTATTTCACTTTTAGGAACCTCTATCAAAAAATTTCTGAAGACGTACAATAAACTAGTAATAAAATTGAAATGATAACGCTTCTAAAGTGTTTCATATCCAAAATTGAAGATATTTCAGGCTATTTTGTGAGAACACTAAACACAATCACTGCTTTTCGTTCCTTCCCTTAAGGGCATCCAGGGATCTCTATTTCCTGTAGGGTGCTCCAGACAAGTTCTTTGAAAGCCGATCTCTCCTTGATGAGTCACAAAATCTGCGGCATCCTCCATAAATCTTTTTTTCGACTTTCCCTCGACTTGTTACGAGATCAGCCAGCTGTTTTCTCGTTTTCCTCGTGTAATCTACGCTAATAGCGCGGAACTTACATAAGTGAGCTGAGTTCGTAAATACACAAATCATATTTTGTGCATTCGAAAAATATCTTAAGGTATCTCATCCCAATTCCATTTACTCTCTTTTCTTGCGCTAAACAGCAAACATTCTGGCAGTTCATCTTTTTCCAGCAAGGCGCAACATCATTCATTGAATTTGTGTTGAATTATTGATAGTGTACATCCAATGGAGTTTGTGCAGTGGACCGTTTTGGTACCCCAACGGCCAGACCAAAGATCAGACAAAGTCCGAAAGTCTTTCGAAGTCTATCTTGAAATGCTCGAGTTCATCTCGTAATTGGCTTATGTGCATTTACACATATTGTATCGTACGACTTGAAATAACTCAAAGGTAATATAAAGATTGTAATTTGCTCACAAACCCCTGATTTGCCATGTAATCTCAGCTTCACTTTATCAACACCTGACGGAATCCCATATATTTTGAGAAATCAGACATGAATGTTTTATCTACCGGATATGACCACAACAAACAACTTTTATCCTATTTTATGTTCATCTCTATCTCAAAGCTCATTCGTTACAGAGGGAAGGAATGAAATGGAGCCGCATTTCGGTCCGACAGGGATTGCAGTTGTAAACTATGGCGCTATTCTATCTGTCGTAGCATTTGTACTTGATAAAGAATTCTTCTTATTGTTCGAAATTTTGATCTCTGATTTTATTCCAAGAATACGAATCTTGTTCTCAAATCGTGGTTCACACTCTTTGCAGATGTTTTTCGACCTTCACTGATGCGATTAGTAAAGATTGAGCCAGCTCAGTTCTCAGAAATTTCATAGAATTACTTCGAAGTCCACTGCTATCATGCCTTCTATAACCTTTTGGAAAAAAAGGGTGAGACCTCCATTTTTATGTAAGAGTGACTTGTATCTGATATCTCCACACCTCCTTTATGTACTTTTGTTGTTTTTGATACTATCTTTTGATGCTCTTAGCTGATAATGGGTATATTGCTCAGTTCGAGTAGGAAAGATGGATGGCCACTGCTGAATTTTTCTGCATTTTTTACAAACCTTGGTAGTGTTATGCTTTTTTAAACCCTATAACATTGCAGAAAGCCATTACTTCCTTCAATTTATCTTTTCTCTTTGGCACTTCCTTTCATTGGCGAGAGATCATCAATCAAGAGAACGCAGCTGTTCATGGCACCTTCGTAAAAGATCTTAGACATATTTGAAACTTTCCTGGATCTGTGGCTCACGAGGGTAAAATGACATCAACGTATATTTTAATTTCTGCATAGATTTACACAAACTGGGAAACGCTAGAAATGTCACTTTGGTTTTGTTAGCCGCCATGACAGATTTTCACATTTCATATTTTCGCTGGAAAATTATTGCTTTCTAGAAATGGATGATTTTTTGCATTCAGAAATACATGAAAGCTGCCTTTTTCAGTTTTTTATCCAACTGAAAAAGCTAAGAATTATGGAGTGAGCACTGAGACGTGCAAATTATATTCGACACAATAGCTAGCTGATTTTCTGCTAAACCAACTTTCGAAAAGCTTGTTTTCAAAGTAATAAATAGGTTCTCGTAATTTGAGCTCCTTTTTCTTCCAAATAATCTCATTCTGCTCGACAACAAGCATGCTTTTGACATCTAGCAACTTAAGTTTGACTTTTTTGAATTGTTCGATGCCATTAGTAGCAATTATTATGCTAAAGATGTAACGTTATTTTGAGGTATCGAATAAATAAATAAATAAATGCGCCTGTATAATATGAAGCGAAATTGAAGGGTTTTGAGCAGTTTCTCACCGATTTTATACTGAAACTGATGTCCTTAAGTCGTCCGATTCTCACTTACTTTTACTTCCACCTCCCCCCCCCCCCACCTTGCCCATTTTCTACTTTTGATCTTTTGCCCTATCAAAATGCCATAGCAGTTAGTTCACTGTTGTGACCGCTAAAACCTACCGCTGCAAAATGTTGTGCCGTTAACATTTCAAGAAAAGTGAGAGTTCTGCCAATTTTTTGCAAACGCGATTTTGCACAAAAATACTGGTCACATTGCCCGCTGAATTCCAAGTCATAAACCCGCATTCATAATGTGCACCACAAACTTACAGGTTTCCTTGTAGGCGGAATCTTTTCGCAAAGTTGGGGAACTTGTTGGTAGGATGAGTTTTCAAACAAGCCTCACTTTCATTTGCAGTCTTCGCTATACATTCAACTCCTTGGTAATATCGTTTACAAGTTACTCCCTATCCCCCCCCCCTCCTCCACCCCGCTACTTCTCACTTACCACTTTTTTTTTCTTACAGTAAGCCTCTACTTCAAAGTGTCATAATGGTCCTCGCCAGCAGTGATGCATGAAATCAAAATCACCAAGTGAACTATAGAATAGCTGTGACCGGGTGAAATGGAGCACTTCGCTGAAAATACACAGAGAAGACCGTGCAAGGATTAACACATTGAAAAAGTATTGTAGCGACTGTAGCCAGTCCATCTGGTTTTTTTTAGCAGGGCACTAAATAAATACGACGGATGCAGAGGGAATTTTTTCGTGCACATGCGGAAAAGTGCTCTGGAACTCCACTTTTGGTGCAAAGCATTTTTGGTGCAAAGTTTTGAAAACCAAAAGTGTGAGCTCATATGATCAAATCGGACTTATATTACTCTCTGTTTCCGCAGAATAATCTTCTTTTGTCCCAAAATTTTTCTCTTCCTGTAAAAAGACATTGTGTACCTATTTGCTTCCTGCTTCTTCTGTTCCCTCATAAATATTCGCTGATTAACTTTGTTCTGCTTATTTGATGTTCAATGCCAATATAGTCATTCAGTAAGTAACTCATATATCCATCAAGCATCAAATCATCCGGTCATTTATTATATTTTTCTTGCATTTGAGAATCGGTCTTACTGAGAATCACAATCAAATACAACTGTAACTTTACTCAGTTCTCTCAGAATTCTAATGGGGTAACTCACTTCGGCAAATATTTTCGATCCAAACTATCTTTTTGAAAAGTATTTGCCTTTCATGTTGTCTATTCTGTTCTCTGTTCTCTAAATCTAGCTCTCCAAGTCTCAATCTTGTTTTCGACTTTCAAGGATGTTTATGTATTTCCAAATATAACGCATATAGGCTTGGGACGTATTCCAGCACCCGACACTGCGATTCTTGTTCAAGTCGAAATACTCTGCTTGTGTTCACGTCTTCTGATCGCAAATCCCTTTAGCCAAGGATAATCTGATGTTTTTCGGTGACAATTCAGTCCTCTTTTGCCCACGGCAACTCTGGGCAGAGCAGTTGTTTTGCCGTTCGGATACACTGAGTTTTGTTCTGTGGTCTTTCTTTGGTTCATACGTTTTCAAGACTGAGTTGCAGCCCCAAAGTTCCTTTCATATGGGAAGTTATTCCACTTTTAGGAACGTTTATCAAAAAATTTCTGAGGACGTACAAGAAAAAATAAAGCCAGATCTCTGATTTATCGTAGAGTGCTCTAGACAAGTTCTTTGAAGGCCGACCTCTCCTTGATGAGTCACAAAATCTGCGGCATCCTCCATAAATCCTTTTTTCGACTTTCGCCTCGACTTGTTCCGAGATCAGCCAGCTGTTTTCTCGTTTTTCTCGCGTAATCAACGCTAATAGCGCGGAACTTATGTGCGCTGAGCACGTAAATACATAAACGATGCTTTTTTCTACGACATCTTCAACGAACGAAGTCTTCACCTCATTTTCACTTGTGCCAGAATTTTTTTTTATGTGTGTTGTTTACACAGATGTCAGATAAGCGAACAAGAAAGAAGAAATGAAAGAAGGATTGAGTGGACTAAATATAGCTCAAAGATGTTTTTTCTCTACGTAAAAAATACTCAATATTTATTTTTGCTTACTCATTTACTTCCTTAATGCATAATTCATTTACTCTACATATTTACTCTCACTGCCCTTTTTACCATCATCTGAGTAAACAAAGCTTTCTGATCCGCCGTTTAGATTTTGCACTTTTGGGTTGCATCATAAGTTCCAAGTTTCGAAATTATGTGTAAACCTCATATTATGAGTCACTATCTCAAACCTCAAGTTTCTCATGCGTCATTTGCTCTGGACTCCCATAATTTTCATTTTTTTCTTGTAGCATTGAACAAAGACTTGTAAGCAAAATAATTTTTCAATAGTTGTGTGAGCTAGGGGTAAACCTAGGGATACATCTTACTGCTTTGTATAGAGACAGATTCTTGCAAATATGTGGTTTGAAAGAAAGGCACCTGACGAAGTTCCAAAACTACAGCTTGTAGTTTTACTCAGCCACTTTGAACATGGCTGGAAAAAGAAAATTTATCGAATGAAAAATTTATGGCAATTTAATATGTACATTAACAAAAGGCTTTATGCATTGGATAGATAAAATACTAGACGCGTAGAAAAAAGTCTCATAATTTCTTATACTATTTGTTCACCTATAAGCTTTACGCCCCTTTATTCTGCTCCTCTCCACCTCAGAAATCAAAATTTACAGCTCTATCTTTTCGAATTTCTTCCTATTACTTCCATTTGATTTGTCATTTCATTTAGTACATTCTTAATTTTTCTAAGATTTTCCCTCGTTACTTGTGAATCTGCTGTTTATCGGCCATGATTCGAATTCTTGCAACAAACAGCAAGGCACCAAGCCATTACTTCGCGTGATTCCTGCGGTGAAACTGCCCATTTATGTCTGGAAACACAACAACAACACGTACGCGATTTTCACAGCTGCATCGTCGGTACGCACAGTTTTTGATAGTTTGGAGTAGGGGGGGGGACTACTGGTCTTTGCTCATTATGTTTTTCCTCAAGATCGTGTCCGTGTTTTCTTGTGTTCTTCCTCTCAGGTGTTCGATAGAGCCAGTGCGATAAGGAAAAGAATTCGAGCGCGTGCTTTTTCTCTAGAGAATATCGTGAGCTTCTCTATCCGGAAAAAATGTTAATTTATGCTCGTAAATCCCCTCATTCTCCAAGAAATTTTCTGAAAAATTTTTAGGAATTTTTCTCGTCCTAACTGCGCGATAAATTAGCTGCTTCTTACTGCAGTCATGCAAGATGACATGCTTGCTATGTTTGATGACTATAACCATCAATCATACATAAAACGCTCTTTCCCGGTGAGAATGTGAATTGACTCGCTTGTCCTTTTCATAAAATGAATTATTTGCAAGATTCGATGCACGTATATATGAAAAGAATTCATGTATGTGCAGATGTACGATATGGAACTCGCGCTTTCTAAAAAAGCTTTTAGTGAGAAAAGTTCAGATCTCTACCATCTAGCATTTTTAATCATTTTCAGAACTACGCAGGAGTTGGCTTCACATCAATTTTGCTTAATTTATTATATATTATTTATTCACTTATTTATTTACTGTGCTTATTGTGCTCCTAAAATACTTGAAACGAATTGAAAGATTCAGATGGAAGTCACTTATTGTGAGCACGCTAAAGAAAAAATGAAGGCAGAACTACATATTCTCGAGTTCGCAAACTACATTTAATTATAGATAGTACAAAATTTTCAGAATTTTTGGGGACCATCTCAACTCTTGTGAAATCGAGTAAGTGCAAAAATTTTCCGTTTCGTTTGGTGAATTAAACGAATTTTAAGACATTTGTTTGGTTCTGCGATGAGTGTAAGACATAGCTGTTATTTTTATATTCGTTTTGATTTTCGTTATTCGCAACTCTATCTTGTTTTTTTTCGACTTTTTCCATTAAAGGGACATTTCTCATTTATGCACGAAGCCATGGCGGAGAAAGGGGAGGAGCATGTTAGCGATTTTTTGACATTATCAAAATTTGTGACGTGTTTCCACTTTTTTTTTCGCTAATCGTCAATTCCTTTAGACTTGAATTTAGCTTTGTAAGAGTGTTTTTCTCTTTTTTTCCCAAATTTAAGGGATCACAGATCATTTTCCCCCAAGAATTCTGGAAATATCCTTCAAACATCTCCGAGGACGTGACTGTGTTCTGGCTCCCCCCCCCCCCTCTCCGCCCGGAAAAATTTCTCAGTCCTTGACCGCTTCGGTGTGAAAAAATTTCTCTTTTTAATCACTTTATCAGCAGATTATCTTGATCTTCATGCACGATAATTTTGCCCTTCGAAGCTTTGTAAAAAAAGGCATTTCGAATTTTTTGAATTATGACGCAAGGTGCATTTTATTGATGTTTATCTATTTATCTGTTTATCTTACTGAATAAAATTGTATTCTAGGACATATACTTTTATTCCAATCTGTAGAATGCAAACTGGTGGTCCATTCTTAGAACCTCTTCATTTGCTTTTTATTTTTCTTGATTATAGTTGCTTATTCAGTCTATTTCCGGTTTGAATTCTGTTTATTCTAAATAAATATTCTACTTTTTTAACCTAAAAACTCAGACAAGTGCAGAAATTTTGCTCAAGCTTCGACTTTTCAAGAACTTAGGAATGAATGAAAGCTGCTAAAGCCGTTTCTTCACAATGGAAAGGTATTGAGGCCCATGCAAATTCTCTTGCAGGGCTTTAAATTACCGGAAGTCATAAGTGGCTGCAGGGTACGGCCATAGGAACGTTTAAGGCTGGCAGTGTATTCAGGCATTTCTTGAAAAGCCTGAAACTGCTAAACTTCAATCCCATCATTCTTATTTTCTACTATCGCCATGATTAATTTTCTAGGCAAAAAAATCAAAAAATCTCCAAATCGATGTTTCTGCAAATCCTCGTGAATCGCCAGTCTACTACCCATGCTATTATATTTGCAATGGGCAATCACAGTTAAGAGGATGACAATCTACGGAAACATGTCCTTCCATCAGAAAAACTACGGAAAATTTCCGAGTGAACAACTATAAACCAGTTAGTTGCTGGTTTTCATGAAATTTTCCCCGTGTTCATCCGAACGTCCTTTCACTAATAGCCGTTGTAGCGCTATTCATGGTGAGGTCCTGGCTATTTGTGACTATTATGGGATTACTGTAGGATATTTTTAGATGGATATTAGTCATTCATAGCTTTGTCTATAGGTTCAAAATTCTTCTAGAAATAGATTATATTCATCGATGAGATCTATGGAATAATGCCTAATCTATCCAGTCCTCAATTTCCAGTTCAGTTTTACATTCTGCAATTTAATGCTTTATCTAAGTATGAATATCGCAAACTACTCACAATCGACTCTGTTTTTGTCTTAAAGACACTATTATAAATTATCACTGGCGCTCACAATTTTATAGGGCGAAAAGGTTTACTTAGTAAAATCTTTGAAACATGTGTCTTGACAAGTTCTTCATATAGTCAAAAACTCGGAACTCTAAATTATTTGAAAAGGTGTGGTCCTATCTACACTCCAGTTGCGTAGTTCTTGTCACATTTCCGAACATAAATGCAAAAAATAACTTCCCTAGTAAAAATCCAATAAGTTTCAGAATTATTTTGTATATCTGAAAATAGAAAATAGCGCTCATTTAGGCCCTCTTCACTACGAATTCCTAGAATTTCTTTCCGCTCTTTTCATTTTCGGCGTCGGGCACCTCCTCCCCCCCTCTCCCCTTCTGCGCCGAATACGGTATTTACCAGCCCCAATCCTATCCCACTGCAGCTTCAGTTGGTTTTTGGACTTTTATCCTATTATCCGTTCGCTCTTCTTTCTATGAGATGGGGTAGGGGGCCAAAATTCTAGCTCCTCCTCGTTTTTTTTTGACATTTCGCTTTCAACGGACATGACAGAAAATAAGAATTTTTGTTTTATCGTTGAATATCATCCTCTGATAATTTTTCTACTCAGCATCTCGTTTGCTTCTTCTATTTTTCAAATATTTCTTGCCTCATATTTTTCTCGAATTTTGTCGCATTTTTCCGCGTTTTTCGTATCTCCAACTTACTCAGCGACAACTCCGCCCACACCATTTATATTTGCAGATGCTCCGCACTCTAATACTATTCACTTGCATCACATATACATTAGCAGTTCGTTGCTATGATTGCTATGACACTGGTCCGGATCACACCACTTGCACTGAGGATCGAAGTTGTGAAGGACTTGCATGCATGATATGTGAGTCTTCTCTCAGTTTTTTCTTTTCTTTGCAAAAAAGAATTTTTTTCTGCTCGGTCTCGATTTTTGCCCTTGCCTTTTTTCACTTGCACTTTTGCAACGCTTGGGCGATCGTGTGAAATTCAAATTTGTTTGCTTAGCTGCTGTGTAAAGGCTAGACGGAAGCATTGCGGAATTACCGTAACCTGATAGCGGAACTTTCGCACATAATGTGGACCATTTTCTTGCACTTTGATGTTTATTTGGTCGACTAATCTAAAAGGCTAACCGCTAAAATAGTGAGGAAATGCAGTGCGCATAGAAGTAAAGGTCCTGAATTTTTTCCGAGGGTGGGTAAAATTTTTCTGAGAAGGGCTTAGTAGCATATTATACTGAAGATTTTTTGATAAATTTCAAGATTTTTAGCAATTTTAAAATTTTTATCTAAAAAAAACATCCACGCCTTCAAAGGCTTTTTTCACTATGGTGATAAATTTTCTATAAAATTTGGAAATCAACTGGCTGACAACAAAAAATGAGTCGCTATAATTTTACAACTCAGGAAGATCTTTTTGGAATTTCGAGACCTATCTTTGGGTGGCGGGGGATAATTTGCCATTGGCGTATAAGCATCTATCCATCAATCGATAATCGATCGCTTATATTGAAATCAATCAATTACAGAGTTGAATTCAATTTATTCTTGCAAATTGCTAACCTAGTCTTTTTTCTAGTTGATGCTGGAGACAATGCCACAGCTACAGCATTCTGTTTATTGGCGATGAGAGGTCAGTTACATGGTACCAAGTGCCCCGCCCCTTCTTGGACATCATTTAGAACTCACTTTTTTCTTCTCTGTCAGTCTCCGCGAACATATTTAGGAGGTGAAAGTATCACTCAAAAAAGCGGTTGCTGGTTGGAACCAGATGGTCGCGGTAGGCATTGCATGTGCCATGAAGATTTCTGCAATCGCCTAGTTCCACGGGGGAAACAATCACCAAGTAAGGAGTTCAATTACCCAGGATTCTCTCTACCGTGAACAAAATTTGATTTCATTTCTTACAGCTGATCCAATGGTACCACTGTTGCCAAATGCAGAATTTCTCAAGCAAAATCCATTGTTAGATTATCATGATCATCTTGGAGATTCATCTGAGGTATCACATATTTATTTCCTTTTAATTTTCACTCAAGTAAATTTTTTATGGCAGGACGGTGCAGCTCCAAGGCCTGAGAATATTTTGTTCCCCTCGGCCGTCGCGAAAGATCCAAAAGTTGCTGGTGGATCAGACGACGATGGTAATTTTTCTGATTGTTTAATTGAGCATGTTTAAGAAGAAGAAATAGGAACCAATGCTTTTTATTTTTAGATTTGGTGCCAGTCGATTTTGCAGATTATGATCGGGAACTTTCGGCTAAAGAACCGAAGTCACAGGTGAGAGAGGGCGACCCCTTGCATCATCAGATTTTTGAAGGGACCATTCAGATTTTTTGTTAAGTGTAGAAAATGATTAAAACGCCTTTCCTGTCTTACTCAAGTCTTGCTCAGGCGGCAGCTTACATAATTCATTTGTTAACAGAAAAATTAACTCTAAACTTTCGCCCAGTACCGTAATTCTATCGGAAAGCGCACTCAGTTACGGTAGTGGGCGAAGGAGCTTATTTGATCGATTTTCAATGGCAAAATATTGTTTATTTATAATTTATCTATTTACAGACACCCAGCAGTGTATCCGTTCACCCACCAGCTTGGATGTTGATGACGATGACATTGGCCACATCATTGGCTCGCCTTTTCGCTTAAATCGAACCTCTCTCCCTTTAATCCCTGCCACCGTAATCTCACTACCTTTACTAGCAGTAGAAAGTTGAATGTTCTGTTGAACTAGTCACTTTACCAGACAACTTCTAAATTTTACTATAAAATTTGTTCCAAAGAGCTTGATTCATTTTTACCCTGAGATTAATGAAAATAATAAGGACCTAAGAATAACTGTGATACTTATAAGGTCTATTAAAATTTTCCCGGAATTTTTTTAACGCTGTAAAATTGAATAATATGTGAATGACCTGCTCTGATTTTATTTTGTACAGTATTCGGGTTCTGCCAGATCGGTTGGTCAATTTACAAATACACTGCACATAATAGTTTTTTATATCATATGTATAGGCATTGAATTTTGTCATTCCGATTCATTGTACTGCATAGATTCACTTTTTTTAACATCTTCGTCATAATTAAGTATTTATAATGTCTTTCTCATGTTCCATTTTTGTCAATGAATATTTAGACATTGATAACATTGTTGCGACACTATTTGTCTTTTGGGAATAACACGCATATGCACATAACGGTTCGAAAAAATGGAAGCGTCAAAGACTTTCTGCTCCAGCGGTTGCTGAATGTCTTCGAAACAAAAGAGAACAATTGTAAGTCATGAGAATTGATATGAAGCAAAGTCAAAAATAACCGAAATTCTGCTTCTAGTTTGAGTGAAGTAAGGGATCGCAAGCTGAAATTAGGTAACTCCACAAAATGGTTACTGATTACATAACCTTTGATTCAACTATCTTGGCGGCTGGAAGGCGGGGCTTTGTGACCTAGTTAAGGCCGCTCGCGCCCACGCTGCAGCTTGCGTCTCTCTCGCGCGCGTACTCTTTGATTATTATTTCTCCTCAAACAGGTCACAAAGCCCGCCTTCCAGCCGCCAAGCCAGTTGAATCGAAGGGGACCTATGATTATCTCCAGCATTCCAATTGTTTTGTTTATATTCTAACGGATTGGCATATCTGGCCTCTCATGGCATAGAAGTAATTTCAAACAAAAGCTTTCCCCATCTCTTTCCGTATTCCTATGAAAGAGTGAGAAAGAAAAAGCATTTGAAAACTAACTGTCGTTGTTATCACTTCAATACATGACTCTACATTAGTATATCTATTATAAATTGCTTGAAGTGTTTCTAGAGCGTAAAAATCTAAGTATGGTTTGTCTCCCAGAAATGTACCCATAAGTAACGGCTACCGCATGATGAAGGCGCACAAGCGGTATTAGTTGAGCGGGCGCGAACTGACGCGCGCGTATCCTCACCGTTGTGAATCCCGCGCCTCATGCGCTTTGCGGCTAATAAAGCCGCGTTCGGGCCCAAAAATATCGCGCCTTCTTTATGCAGCAGCGTATATCATCAACGTGGCTGCCTTTCGATCGTTCCACGTTGACTCCAGCAAATTTGAGGCGCATTTCGAAGTTGATAAGTTGAAACGATCGAAAGGCAGCCACGTTGAAGGTATCTATATATAGAAACATTTCTGGCAGACAGACGATAAGTTGAACTCAAGACGAAATTCTGGTTCCAACTCAAAGAATACTCAGAGAAGCCTTGTGTGGCAGCACTAAAGACATGAATAGGGTAGTAGATACGCAACTGGTAACTCAGAGGTTGGACTATATGTCGCCAAAAAGGGGCGACCCCCGCGGTCACTGCAACAGATACGCACCCCTGCACATTACGGAGGTGCGTTTTTGCAAGAGCCCGCCCGGGACCCTCCCAGTTCAGCGACATACAGCCCTTTACCCGATTTCAGGATTAATCTGTGAATGCTGGATGACGATCATAGTGTGTTCACGTCCACGACAACATTTACGCATAGATAAGGAGCTGTGCGTTCTTTGGCAACTTCACAGCAGCAATTTATGAGCTGGCTGACTGCATGCACGATAGTGGAACTGTGATCGCACAAACCTTGCCTTTACCGCAAGAGATAGGGTAGATTGCGTACAATTTGCGCGTGAAGAAATAGCTACACCCGTGACGCCGGCCAATTGCGCGCGCAGAATGCCGGCATTACTGGCGTGGCTAATTGTTTACGCGCAAATTTCAGCACATTTCACCTACCCTCGATATCATTCCATATGTCTTCCCTCAACATGACGTGGATTACGTGGCTTAATGAGGCGCTGCCTCGCCTCGGGCTTGCGCCACGTTGCGTGCGCATTTTCGGCGTGATATGGCAACAAGAAGAACGTGGAAAAGCCTGCGCCACGTTGTGTTGAGCGCCACGTCGCGCCAAATGATGCGCTCGCAACGTGGCGCGAGCCCGAGGCGAGGCGGCGCCTCATCAAGCCACGTAATCCACGTCATGTTGAGGGAAGACATATGGGATGATATCGAGGGTATATTCCCCTCCACAGATCGTGCTACCCTTGGTCTGCGTCTCCCTGCCACGTGAGGCTAACATGTTGGCAACGTTGGCAGCAACACGTTGGCAACATGCAGCAACATGTTGGCGTGGCCAAAATGTTCTGCCAACATGTTGAGGCATGTTGCAAACATGTTGTTGCCACGTTGCCAACATGTTAGCACACGTGGCAGGTCTGAGACGCAGATTTGAGTCTCGCATGCAGCCTTGTGGCGTCCTGCGTGAGCAATGTCCGCAGCCGATGAGATTTTCACGATCTGCCAATGCCCTATAGCAGGGTGTAGGCAATAAGTAAAGTAAAAAACTAGTGAAACTGGACATAAAGCTAAAGCTTTATTAATGCGGCTGAACAAAAACAAAAAGATCTTCAAAGTAAAACATGATTTGATGAAGTTTTTCGAAAACGATGATTCCACTGTGAGAAGAAAGAGTCAGCTACCCGAACATAGCTAGAGTAAAAATCAGAAGAGATTAAGCAGATGAATGTTTAAAAAAAGTGGGTATATAAGTACACGAATCAGAAAATTACACATAATTAGCCAACCGCAGCAAAGATTTCGGGGCATGGATTTCGTATTCTCCGCATTTATGCTGCCAATGAACGAGGCAGCAGGTGCTATTGACCTGTAGTACCTCTAAGTAGAACTAATTAGCTTGGTGAATCATAAATGAATTACCTCCATCACGTATCCTATATGGGGCTCACTGACAAAACTGCTTGGAGTGATGAAATCACTCAGTGCAAACCAACCCTCACTGTCTGTTACTTCACTCATCTCCATTCCGAAATACCTTGGGATCCCTTCGTCTTCTCCGTACAATTCAGATTCACAGACCATGCAATTGTTTCTGTAGCCAGAGTAGTAACAACTGAATGAATTTGCTATGATCAAGATTTACTCAACATATTCAAAAATGTAGGTCTCACAAAAGTTCGCACAAATACCGCAGCGCGGCTGACGGTCATAGGGTATGTTCAGAGTTGCCACCGCCGTGCTGATCGATAACCGCGCGCGTCCATGTGGACTGCGGCCGGTGCTGCGACGCTTGAACGCCTGCCTTTATAACATTACCCGCGCTGCAGGTATCAATGTGAAGTTTCGAAAGCAGATTTTACCCTCTGTTTCATTAGGAGTGGACTTTCGTGCAGCTCGGGCCCCGCGTGACTGCTTCGCTTGAGAGCTGCACTTCTTACTTGGGCGTGCTCTTTTATCATTCTGTCACACCAGACCTAGGAAGGCCGAGCTTTAACCCATTAACGACGACGCCTAATTTTGCGTGGCGGCGCCGTGGGACGACGCGATTTTGCACAACACTTTCGGTGTGTGAAGGTTTTGTGCTTATTTTCGAAACGCAAGATTGTTTGGCGCTATTCGGCTCTCCGGGCCCCAAAATTTTTTGTCATGGATTCCGCTCAAACTTGGCCCAGAGGAGTTATCTGGCATGCTGATCACGAATATCACCTTTTCTCCGCAGGAAAACGCCTCCCTGCAGGGTTACGGTAGGTTTACGGTAGAGGGTCACAATCATAGATTTGGATGAAACTTGGCCCAGGGGGGGGGGGGGTTATCCGGCCAGCTGACGCTGAATATCACATTGGTTTTGTACCGTAGCGTCATTTTCTCGGGCTACGATGGGTATACGGTAGGAGATCAAAATCTCAAAATCCGCTGTGACTTTGCACAGAGGGTTATTCGACATGCTGATTAGAAGTGTCACACTTTCTCCACACGAAAACGTCTCCCTGCATGGCTACGGTAGATTTACGGTAGGGGTCCCTCTGGGCCAAGTTTTGGGCAAATCCGTGAGCTTGACCCTTTACTGTAGTCCTACCGTAACTTCACCGGATGGCGCTGTCGCACGAAATAAACAACATATTCGTGTTCAGCATGCCAAATAACCCCTCTAGACAGAGTTACGGGCAAATCCGTGATTTTGACCCCTACCGTATACCTACCGTAACCCTGCAGGGAGGCGTTTTCCTGCAGAGAAAAGGTGATATTCGTGATCACCATGTCAGGTAACCCCCCTGGGCCAAGTTTGAGCGAAATTCATGACAAAAAAATTTTAGGGCCCGGATAGCCGAACAGCGCCGAAAAAAATATTAATATTTGGAAAAAATAGTAGGCCTGCAAATAATATGACTTTGCAAGGGGTGTGGGCCACCGGTGGTCCATCGTCGTCAATGGGTTAATCGCTCAAGGCAGCATCCAGGCAGACCTGGACATATGGGGACCTTACGTGGATAGTAATTTTGGGGCCCTAACTAAGCCACTGCCCAAGCGGCAGCGAAGATAGTGCTCTAACGGCTGAGATATACACCTCGAAACTGGAGCTCAAGATCGTATGTGGTATGGATATGGCGCAACCCATCAGTTTCGCGTGGGTCCTCACACATAACTGATGGGTTGGACATGAATCCATGCGAAAATCCTGGGGTCCAGTTTCGAGGAGTATACCTCAGCCGTTCGATCATTACGCCTTAAAATTATTCCCACATGATACTCCATACGTCCAGATTTGCCTGGGCGCTGCCTTTAAGAGCGGGAAGATTAGAAAACACGCACCGAGAAAGGTTCAGAGCACAGATGAGCGGGCGCGGGACCAAGCCGCACAAGCACCCATCACTCCCAATGACACAGAGGTTATTGATGAATAACTTGCAAAACGCACAACTCTTCATTCTCACAGCGAAGCATATAGCATCTATCGATAGCCTTCTTCGTCCATTTTACTTTATCGCCAACATCGCACGCGCACAAGTTTGCAAGGCCAGGCAGATTGTAGAACTGCAATCTTATTGGAGTAGTAAGCACTGGCTCTAAAAACACTGATTTACCTCAGCTTCGTTCCGTAAACTGTCGCGAGTATCATCATTTGAAGGAGGAACAAACCTTTCGCCGTCTCTCAAGTAATCCAGTACCTTAAGCAATAATTTGGCTGGTTATTTCAAAACGTATGATGATTGGCAACCTTTGCAAAATGTGTCGGGTCTCTGTCGATGAATACATGTTCTTGTCGAGAATCAGCAACCAAAGCGAAAAGCACCTTCAAAAGTCTTGCATGAAAAATGACCGCGCCAAAGCAAGCTTGACTTACGCTATTCTTCGCCCTTGTGACAGTTGAAAGAGAGGTTTCGAAAATAACCCCACCAACATTGATTTTCAACAGCTCGCCATGGTTTGGATGCTCGTACTCCTACATATCTATTTCAGCAAATCTTCATGGTCAATATGTTAGCGTGATACGTGACAAACTGTGATTCGCTAAAAGTTCATAGCTACAAATTTAACGCCTCATGATTTATAAGGAGATTCAGGTAAAGATGGATTTATCCATCAAGAATGAACAAAAAACTGAAATTCTCGATTTACTATCACTGACACCCTTGGTTAATGTGACTTACCTCCAATTTAGATGAGCAGATATCGACAAGACCAGGTAAGTTGTAGAACTGCAATCATGCGAATGCTCGAAAGTATTAGTTTTGCTTAGGGTTGGGCCAGACTGCGCGGCGTACGCGACGTACGCAGCGTACGCCGCGTATGCTCCTATGATGAAATATACCGAGCGTACGCTGCGTACGCCGCTTCCCCGCGAAGTCTGGCTCAACCCTTACAAGGGAACGATACTCAATGTCCGTGGCCTTTTAAGATGAGGTGTATACCATTACGCTCGCCTTCGAACGCTGATTCCGAATTTGACTTCCTATTCTGCTAATCGCTTCAAAGATGTTATGATGGATCGCGCGGAGTTTGGCTGCCCAGTGAAATAAGGTAGGAGCGCCGACACTCACGTTGCGCTGTGGCCTAGTGCTTAGTGCAGTACCCTCATGAGTCGATGCAGGCGTAGGTTCGAATCCCTTCATGTTTTTCTGTTTTGCCTTGCCTCAGTTAACCTTCTTTCGCATCTTCGAGCTAAGTGAACGCTTTTACTCTTCAAAAAATGTGTAAATTTGGAATAAATGATTACTGTTTGCGCTAAAATGTATCCAATGATCATAATTCGAGTGAATTTTCTTGAACAAGTGAGGCAGTGCAAAGGTAAAAACACAAAAGGATTTAAACCTACACCTGCTCAACTCATGAGGCTATCGCACTACTTACTAGACCAGAACGTGGCCGCAGTAGAGGCCGTTTCAATGACCATATTTTCCTTGGGCGGCCAAACTTGGCTCAAATTTCGCCATAACTTCCTTCAGAGAAACGATTAGCAGAGACGGAATCAGATTCGGAATCAGCGTTCGAAGACGAGTGTAACGGTATGCATCTCATCTTAAAAGGCCACGGACATTGAGTATCGTTTCCTTGTTAGACCCAATGCCAACTTTTATTTCGATACAACCGCGGATTGTTCTGACATATTGATCAAGAAAAACACAGTCAATGTCAACCACGAGCTCCTTTTTCCGTTGTAATCACGCGTCCGCAGTGATCTTCAATGGAAGTGGCAGATTCAAACGCTCAAAGGCTACGCCCGTGAACGCCGCACATGACTCCAGCCCGCTTGAGCTGATCGGCAAGGGAGCTCGTCGTTGACACGGACTGTATCGTCCCTTCCACAGTTGCTGCTACCCTTGGTCTGCGTCTCTAATCTGCGTAACGTATGGCTAACTTGTTGGCAACATGCAATCACGTTGGCTTTTCGCTGACAGCCAAATCGTTTTGCCAACAAATTGTTGCATGTTGCGAACATGTTAGCCAAACGTGTCGCATCAGATCAGAGAGGCAGACCGAGGACGAAGCAACTGTGGAAGGGACGCTACATACATTCCGCACAATTAGGGAGAAGTCGTTCCTTCCCCTGTGCTTTGAATAGGCGAAAGCCGCCGCAGGTGTCGCGCGCGGCGGTAGCCCGGTGCGGGGTGCATTACGGTAAATAATGCGAACTGCCCTACATCCCCAACCCGATCATGAGAGAAGAACCGAGAAATGGATAGAAGTGGATTGTGGTCAACACCTCGAATATTTCGACTCAAAAAGCAAATTCTGGAACCTGATCCCACCTAGAGCACAAAAAAAAAGCTTAAAATGCGGAATAAATAATTATGTAAATGATACTCGAATGCTATTCTCCAGCGCCAGGTACAAATTTTTTTCAACTTACATCAGCCTCTCTTCTAAGATCTCTCAGAGAGTTGCGATCTTCAGGAAGTACGACGTATTCTCCATCTCTTAGATAATCGAGTACCTCAAAAAGCAAAGTTAGTTCTCCTACTGACAAGAGAAAAAGTACCTTTGCAAAATGAGCTGGATTTCTGTCGATAAACAACTCTTCCTGTCTTTGCCAACGATCAGCAAGCATTGCAGAGAACATCTTCAAAAACTTGTTTCAATAGCACAGATGTAATCAAAAGGACTGAACTTACACTATTATCAAATCTTGTGAGGGTCAAAAGGGAACTCTCGAATGCACTACCACCAACATTCAATTTCACTCGCCCTCCCGAAGCACGACTCTCTGCCTAAAAACACGCATAATCATCAAAAAAAAATTTCAGAATACATTAAGACTTCAATATCCCATTCCGGTACTTTTCCGTTATCCGGACCCATTTTTTCAAAGAAGCATATTGCTTCATTCCTCGTACCATATTTGGTCCCGACTTTACAGGAAGGAGTGACAGGATTATAAAAGTCAAACCAACATCGTTTTTGACTTAGGCGTCAAAAAATAAAAAGTGCGTAACGTCCGCAGAGTACGGACTTTGCATTTAATTTGACGCCTAATATTAGAAAAATGAGAGTCCCTTATTTCTGACCGTCTTTTCGACTCGTATGTATTACGGAACCCAATAGGCATATGCTGAAACTGAGACTTCAAAAAGTACTCCAAAGTGAAGTTCAGTGATCACAATGAAGCTTTATGCAGAAAGATTTATGTGTTTTCGAGGTCCTTCTTTTCAGTAACAATGTCTGTTTTGCGTAAAAGATCAGGACACAGGAGTTACAAACAAATTTTGAAAACGAGAATCCAACGGTTAGAACTAGAGAACCTGTTTTCTAAAATTATTTGTGGGTGATACTAGAGACTTGTTTGTATTTGATAACAGTGGTGCATGTATCTATTCGATTACGGTCTCCCCTTCCCCGCGTTGCACGGTTCTGACCTCATGAAGGTTTTCTTCGGGCAAAATGCCGCAGGCGCACAAAAGTTGTGACCTGTATCTTATGTAGCAATAACTATTAGGTTGTCCGGAAATTAATGTCCCTTTTGCAAATTTTCACTTTGGAAGGCTATAACTCGTTCAGTCTTCATATTTTTAAATGCAGTCAAGACCATCTGAAACAACAAACCTTTCGTAATTTAGCGCGTACCTGCTCGTACTGATATCGCAAACAGGAGGGAAACTATGCGTCAAAAAATTGTAAGTTTTTCTTTTGAAAACCTCTTCTTTGAGAGCTTACAACTCCCTTCAAGTTTTGTTCGTATGGCTGCCAATCAGCTTATTTTGTAGCCGCAGGCCACATGTTTACGTATGCATAGAAAAGACTCCAAAGAAGGAGTTGTGCGAAAAGAAAAGATAAAAATTCAAAAACGTTCACTTTTTGAGCCTACTTCTTGTAAGCTTGTGAGTGCCAAATTATTGAAATTTGGAATTCTTCTTGCACTGAATAGTCAAGTTTCTCTTCAGATATTGTAGTTAAGGTGTGCTTATCTTAAGCTTACACAACTGGGCAAAGCTTTGGCGATTGCCTTAATTATGAGAAATTTTTGACCCATAGAATGCCAGCAGTGAGTATCTATATCGAGGCGTCAATTTCTCAGTCCAGTTATCTCCAAAAATCTAGATGAGCATGCAATAGGTAAACAGTCTTCATCTAATACGGTTGCTATGTTTTCAGAAGGATTGGTTTGTTTGCTCCTGAATTGTGGTCAAGAAACTGAAAGCTATGAAAATTCGATTTTGAGTGCGGATGTGCAAAATGCTGGTGAAATTCTCACAGATGAGGATAGCAACTTATTTTCACCACCGATAGAAAGTTCATAGAGAAAGCTTTCTAATGATGTCCAGATTCTATATCGTAATAGAAAGTTTGACGAAAAAAAAGTTGTTTGGAATCTAGGCCTAGAAAAATGGACATTAATTTCCGGACAACCTAATAGTTGAATGGTATTGTTTCGGAGATATCTCATGATTATTTATAGGTAGATCCATTATCAAGCAGGATTATTTACAGTCTTGTTTGCTACAAGCTGTGCACCTTTTATTGCGAGGTCAGTGATGTCGTAGTATATTATGTGTACGAAGTATCTAAATAAAAGAACTTATGATTTTGGCATGAGCTCTTTATCTAACTTTCACCTTGAACATTTTGCTGACATTGAACTTGATTTTTTGAAAGTTTTTTGAAAAAATGCTTGTTGTTTTTTGTTTTGCGAGCAACCACAGCTAGAAAAAGGAAAACATCGAAAACGTATAAATCCCAGTTCTGGCCATGACCAGTCCACTAAGATTCCTGAACTTCAACCTGGAACTTTTTGGAAACCTCACTTTTAGCTTTCAGCAACAGACATTGTTACTGAAAAGAAGGACCTCGAAAACGTATAAATCCCAATTTGGGCCACGACTGGTTCATTGTGATCACTGAACGTCACTTTAGAGTACTTTTTGAAGTCTCAGTTTCACCATATGCTTGTTGGGTTCTATAGTTCGAGTCGAAAAGACGGTCAGAAATAAGGGACTCTCATTTTTCTAATATTAGGCGTCAAATTAAATGCAAAGTCCGTACTCTGCGGACGTTACGCACTTTTTATTTTTTGACGCCTAAGTCAAAAACGATGTTGGTTTGACTTTTATAATCCTGTGGAAGGAGTGTCAACCTTCTGCCACGTGTCAAAAAAATTTGACATGTCTTTTACATGTTTAACAGGTTTAACCAAGAGTTTGAGTTGCCCTACCTAGCGACGTAAGTTCAATCTTTTTATTAGTCAATAGTGACCCCATTTTCGATTAAACTATCAAAAATGAGCATTGTTATAATAATAACGTCATTCTGTTACTAATTAAACAGATTAGACCTGCCAAGAGTAGAGAAGTGGACTAGGATCCCGTCATCTAAATGACAAAAAAAGCAATAGCAAGGAACTTTGAGCCATCATTTATAGTCCCGTCTGGCTAAATTCGCAAGACGAAAAGTTTGAAGAAAAAGACAATGCTTAATCGTTGCTGAAAGCGATCAAGATGTTCTGATATAAATTTCAGATTGTTTTGCTCTCAGACAAACCAATTAAACAGCTTTTAGGTGATCACAAATGCTCTCTTACCCATAGGTGCGATAGGGGGAGCCGGGCTCTCCCCAGGTGAAGGGGGTCTCGGCTGTTTCCGACCTTCCAGGGTGAAGGGGGTATGTGAGTCTAGGGGGGGGGGGGGGGGGGGAGGAAGAGAGAAAAGGTAAAAAAGCGTGGTATGAAGAGCTCTAATTTGTACCTTATTTAGGCACAAATTGAAAAAAAAATTAAAATTTTTCAAAAAAAATTAAAAAATTTAAAAAAATTGGTTATGAAGATCTGTGCTCCTGTTTCATGCATCAACAAAAAACGAAAGCAATAATGTTTATCCCAAAAGATGTACAAGTTAGGAACAACTTCATTTCCTGCACATCATCATCAACAATATCACTATCGCTAACGTCAGAGACAACAAGTTCGCTGCCTGAAAAATCTTCTTCTTCCTCCAAAAGGTCATCGGAGTAGAAGTAGAATTGCGTGCAAAAGCGTTCTGAGTCGAAAATGGATTTGAAACTTTCTTCTTCTTTTAAGCGCTTTTGTGATTTTTTTCGTGGCCCTCTGGTAGCACCAGGAAGTCAGCAGGTAGGTGATCGGTTTCTTCATACCTTCTTTTAGGATATTTCAAAAAGTCATACGGTAACAGCCTGTCTGGACCACTTATATCAATCCTTTAAATGAAGTTTTTAGATAACAATGTGTTTAGTAGAGGTTGACAAATCTTAAGTATTTGCTTAGATGCTCTATCGTTGTACGACTTCTGTGTTGTGTTCTGATGACAGAGTAGATAGAAAATTTCTTTCTCTACCTCTGCCGTGCTAGTCGGAATGGAAACTAGCTTTGCTAGTAGGTCCATCAGATTTTTGCGGTAAGTAATGGGAAAAGAGCCAGATCTCATATGCTTTCGCAACGCGGGAAGGAAATAGTGTACTTTTTGGGCCTTGTCGAACTCTGGATTCACCTCCTCTGACATACGTCCTGTTAGCTGATTAGAAAGCTGCTCAACTTCTTCTTTAATAGCATCTGCGGAATAGCCGAAAAAAGGAGGTACCATGCTGCGCGTTGGTTTTTTTTTTCAATATCATAGGTCATATTGTCACAAGGTGAATAACTTTCAAAAGCATAAAGCACAGAGTTGGGTTCGCACTCCAGCCGGGATCTAAGCGCAGTAACTATGCTTTGTACTAACACCTTCCTTTTGTTCATATCCATGTTTGTGAATTTAGCAGCCTTGAATTCTTCAGCAACCTGAAGATCAGCAATGGACTTCCTGGACATTTCCTCATTGAAACTAGACAATCTGCTTGGATTCCTTATGCAGGAAATCAGAGAGTTTCGCTCAATTGCAAACTCTGTATCAATGTCGACAACATTTTCGTCGGCGTAAGATTCTCCTTCTGCCTCGCTGTTGAACTGGAACACGTGCGAGTCATCTGCGATTTTGTAAAGTATTCTGCCTGCCGTTTCCTCTTCAAACTGCCAACCTTTCCAAAACATTGAGGAATATTTCAATAACATGTTATTCTTCTGAATGTCTTAGAGTTTTTAATTCATTGAAACCAACCATTCTCTACAAATTAGATAAGGTGAGTTTAGAGCGTTTTCACGAAAGTGACCTTCTTCAGCACTAGGTTTACAGAGTATAGATTCCAGAAATGGGCGGGTTTTGTGTGAAGGTGTGGAAATTCACCAATCTCCCATAGTTTTTTGAGTGTGTGCTAACAATGATGGCATAACTGTCAATCAAAAGCGCATTTTTTACCAAAAAAAAACATAAACATATAACAACGATAAGCACGCTCAAATAGACGCGTTCGCTCACGTTCCCGTTAGTGCTGATAACGATGTCAATCCACAGCACATTTTTTACTATTAACTTGCTCCACCTCGCTCTTATTAGGTCGTCCAGAAAGTTTTTGCACACGAATTTCAAAATTCATAACTTCTGATTTTTCCAACCGATTTGACTGCTTTCACTTTTATGTGAACGGTAAGCCATGCTCTTTATAATGACATCTCAGCTGCTTAGTAATGGTCATCTGTTGCATAGATAGGAGCGATAGAAGAAAAATGGTAAAAATTTTAATTTTCTATGTAGGGTTATAAAAAATCGGAGACTTGCAACAAAAATCGGAGCAGTCAGTACTGTAGGTTCTTTCATCAGCTCTTTCTAACAGTGCAAAGTTTGCGCCGAGCGTCTCCATGAAAAGTTATGATTTCCCTGAAGAATGCCAAAATAAATCAAATTCGCCTTTTTGTACTGCTTGCTCGGAAATTATAACTTTTCCTGGAGACGCTCAATCGTAGCAAACTTTGCACTGTTAGAAAGAGTTGGTGAAAGAACCTAAAATACCGACTGCTCCGATTTTGTTGCAAGTTTCTGATTTTTTATGACCCTACACAAAAATTCAAATTTTGAGTGATTTTGTTTTGAGCTTCTATCTATGCAAGAGATGACCATTACCAAGCAGATAAGATGTCATTAAAGAGCATGACTTACCCTTTCACATAAAAGTGAAAGCAGTCAAATCGGCTGGAAAAATCAGAAGTTATGAATTTTTGAAAATTGTGCTCAAAAACTTTCGGGACGACCTATACAATGTGTTGGCTTTTATGGGTTACCGGAGAAAATGATTTTTAGAGCCGGGAAGCAAAGAAGCCCTAACATGCTGTATACCATTCGAAAGCTGAGATCATGGAGAATCGACGTAGACCGTCGACTTTTTTCTAGGTCTTCTGTGCCGCGAGATATGAGGGATTTTATGTGCTTCAAAAATTAACTGATTTTGTGTCCTCACTTTCTGCTCTCCAAATGAATGCTACGAGAAAGTCGACGGTCTACGTTTGTTAATGAAGACTTGCTCTTTAACACAGATAGATAAGCAGCAGTGATTAGGTCTTCATTCGGCAGAAATCTGCTGTTGAAAATGACCATGTTTTCAGATAAAATGCTGAGTATCTCTCGATAGAGGGGGGCTAGAAAGAAGTCGACGGTCTAGGTCGAATCCTCTTTTCCTGAGCTTTCGAATGGTATATAGGTTGCTGGGCGAAAAAACGGACCAGTTTTCAAAAATGGGGTGGAGATATTTACTATTAGCTTGCTCCAATCCGGCTCCACCAATGTATTGGCTTTTATCGGTTACCGGAGAAAATGATTTTTAGAGCCGGGAAGCAAAGAAGCCCTAACATGCTGTATACCATTCGAAAGCTGAGATCATGGAGAATCGACGTAGACCGTCGACTTTTTTCTAGGTCTTCTGTGCCGCGAGATATGAGGGATTTTATGTGCTTCAAAAATTAACTGATTTTGTGTCCTCACTTTCTGCTCTCCAAATGAATGCTACGAGAAAGTCGACGGTCTACGTTTGTTAATGAAGACTTGCTCTTTAACACAGATAGATAAGCAGCAGTGATTAGGTCTTCATTCGGCAGAAATCTGCTGTTGAAAATGACCATGTTTTCAGATAAAATGCTGAGTATCTCTCGATAGAGGGGGGCTAGAAAGAAGTCGACGGTCTAGGTCGAATCCCCTTTTCCTGAGCTTTCGAATGGTATATAGGTTGCTGGGCGAAAAAACGGACCAGTTTTCAAAAATGGGGTGGAGATATTTACTATTAGCTTGCTCCAATCCGGCTCCACCAATGTATTGGCTTTTATCGGTTACCGATGAAAATGATTTTTAGAGCCGGGAAGCAAAGAAGCCCTAACATGCTGTATACCATTCGAAAGCTGAGATCATGGAGAATCGACGTAGACCGTCGACTTTTTTCTAGGTCTTCTGTGCCGCGAGATATGAGGGATTTTATGTGCTTCAAAAATTAACTGATTTTGTGTCCTCACTTTCTGCTCTCCAAATGAATGCTACGAGAAAGTCGACGGTCTACGTTTGTTAATGAAGACTTGCTCTTTAACACAGATAGATAAGCAGCAGTGATTAGGTCTTCATTCGGCAGAAATCTGCTGTTGAAAATGACCATGTTTTCAGATAAAATGCTGAGTATCTCTCGATAGAGGGGGGCTAGAAAGAAGTCGACGGTCTAGGTCGAATCCTCTTTTCCTGAGCTTTCGAATGGTATATAGGTTGCTGGGCGAAAAAACGGACCAGTTTTCAAAAATGGGGTGGAGATATTTACTATTAGCTTGCTCCAATCCGGCTCCACCAATGTATTGGCTTTTATCGGTTACCGGAGAAAATGATTTTTAGAGCCGGGAAGCAAAGAAGCCCTAACATGCTGTATACCATTCGAAAGCTGAGATCATGGAGAATCGACGTAGACCGTCGACTTTTTTCTAGGTCTTCTGTGCCGCGAGATATGAGGGATTTTATGTGCTTCAAAAATTAACTGATTTTGTGTCCTCACTTTCTGCTCTCCAAATGAATGCTACGAGAAAGTCGACGGTCTACGTTTGTTAATGAAGACTTGCTCTTTAACACAGATAGATAAGCAGCAGTGATTAGGTCTTCATTCGGCAGAAATCTGCTGTTGAAAATGACCATGTTTTCAGATAAAATGCTGAGTATCTCTCGATAGAGGGGGGCTAGAAAGAAGTCGACGGTCTAGGTCGAATCCTCTTTTCCTGAGCTTTCGAATGGTATATAGGTTGCTGGGCGAAAAAACGGACCAGTTTTCAAAAATGGGGTGGAGATATTTACTATTAGCTTGCTCCAATCCGGCTCCACCAATGTATTGGCTTTTATCGGTTACCGATGAAAATGATTTTTAGAGCCGGGAAGCAAAGAAGCCCTAACATGCTGTATACCATTCGAAAGCTGAGATCATGGAGAATCGACGTAGACCGTCGACTTTTTTCTAGGTCTTCTGTGCCGCGAGATATGAGGGATTTTATGTGCTTCAAAAATTAACTGATTTTGTGTCCTCACTTTCTGCTCTCCAAATGAATGCTACGAGAAAGTCGACGGTCTACGTTTGTTAATGAAGACTTGCTCTTTAACACAGATAGATAAGCAGCAGTGATTAGGTCTTCATTCGGCAGAAATCTGCTGTTGAAAATGACCATGTTTTCAGATAAAATGCTGAGTATCTCTCGATAGAGGGGGGCTAGAAAGAAGTCGACGGTCTAGGTCGAATCCTCTTTTCCTGAGCTTTCGAATGGTATATAGGTTGCTGGGCGAAAAAACGGACCAGTTTTCAAAAATGGGGTGGAGATATTTACTATTAGCTTGCTCCAATCCGGCTCCACCAATGTATTGGCTTTTATCGGTTACCGGAGAAAATGATTTTTAGAGCCGGGAAGCAAAGAAGCCCTAACATGCTGTATACCATTCGAAAGCTGAGATCATGGAGAATCGACGTAGACCGTCGACTTTTTTCTAGGTCTTCTGTGCCGCGAGATATGAGGGATTTTATGTGCTTCAAAAATTAACTGATTTTGTGTCCTCACTTTCTGCTCTCCAAATGAATGCTACGAGAAAGTCGACGGTCTACGTTTGTTAATGAAGACTTGCTCTTTAACACAGATAGATAAGCAGCAGTGATTAGGTCTTCATTCGGCAGAAATCTGCTGTTGAAAATGACCATGTTTTCAGATAAAATGCTGAGTATCTCTCGATAGAGGGGGGCTAGAAAGAAGTCGACGGTCTAGGTCGAATCCTCTTTTCCTGAGCTTTCGAATGGTATATAGGTTGCTGGGCGAAAAAACGGACCAGTTTTCAAAAATGGGGTGGAGATATTTACTATTAGCTTGCTCCAATCCGGCTCCACCAATGTATTGGCTTTTATCGGTTACCGATGAAAATGATTTTTAGAGCCGGGAAGCAAAGAAGCCCTAACATGCTGTATACCATTCGAAAGCTGAGATCATGGAGAATCGACGTAGACCGTCGACTTTTTTCTAGGTCTTCTGTGCCGCGAGATATGAGGGATTTTATGTGCTTCAAAAATTAACTGATTTTGTGTCCTCACTTTCTGCTCTCCAAAATGCTACGAGGATAAATAAATAATATAAATAAACATAAATACCGTTTCTTTAGTAAATTTATGAGTGTACTTGTTGTTTGAGGTACTTAGCCTGCTTTTCATAACGATTTTTATCATATTCTCAGAGTACGATACCAATCTCAGCCCAGGTGAAGGGGGTCATCGGGAGTTTGGCCTCAAAGTGAAGGGGGTAAGATCCATCACTCCCCCTATCGCAACTATGCTCTTACCTCACCGGAAGTGATTTCGAAAAAAACTTGTCAAAATGGACCAAAACATGTTAATATTTTTCTGACACGTGGCAGAAAGGCAGTCCTCGTGGAATCCATAAAAGATTGTTCTTAGACTGAAGAACGTATTTTATGAGAGCTTTTTGAAGAAATGGGTCCGGATAACGGAAAAGTACCCCCATTCCTCCTTTTAATCAATAGGAAACAACTCACCATGGATGTACAAGGCGCAATTTGTGCCAGTCAACGCCTGTGAAGGAGCTACAATTCGAGCGTAAACATTGGAGGCCTCAAGACACGGAGTCCCAATCGCTATAGGACCCGCTCGAAATGACTTCAAAATTGATGTGCCTGTTAACCTGTTAGTGCGGTTAGGTTGACTCACATAGGTACTTTAGGATGGGATTAGGTAGAAAAAGCTTTCAGAAACATGATGAGAGGACGTCGTTGGGGGGGGGGGGAAGGATTTTATTGCTACTTTTCGTTATCGATCGATATTGGTCACAAGGGTGTTGCATCTGAGCTGGAGAGTGAGCATGGTGATGGAGTTTTAACGCCTACCATATCCAGAATGGCGCTAGTGTGTAAAATCAATATAATGTTTATGACCAGCGTAAATAATTCCCGGCGCTATTCCAGTATCCGGGCCCCAAAATTTTTTTTTGACATGGACTTTGCTGAGACTTAACTCAGGGGATGGCCCGCTGACGCCGAATATCACATTGGTTTTGTACCGTAGTGTTATTTTCTCGGGTTACGTTGGGTACACGGTACGGGGTCAAAACCTCAAAATTCGCTGTAACTTCGCACAGAGGGGTTATTCGACACGCTGATTGGAAATGTCACGCTTTCTCCACACGAAACATCTCCCTGCATGGTTACGGTAGTTCAAGGTAGGGTCAAAATCACAAATCGGCAAATGTATCTTTTCCCTATGCTTTGCTTAAGCAAAAGCCGCAGCAGGGACCAGCCGCGCGGCGGTGGTCGTGTGTGCAAAGCTTCTCATCCGAATCGCCGTACACCAGTTTCAGGGTGCCTTCATACCGCGCCGGCAGCCGCCGCTAGCAGCCGCCAGAGCCGCCAGCAGCCCGCGGCAGCCTGTAGCAGCCCGTAGCCGCCGCTGGCCGCTTTTGTTATAGAAGCGCAGAATCATTACAAAACTTCTTTGAGTGCTCCTGCCTATTCTCTGTTGTTGCCAGTGGGTAGTTCGATCTCACAAATCATATTTGTGTCTATTTCATTACAATGTCGCCCATGGCCATCCTGTTTTGAACCATAGTTCGCAGAAGTTTCTTTCCGGTGTGATTCCTTCTGACTTAGAACGCGTCCAGTTCTTGCAAGTGTGCAATTTGTTTACTTTTTGAGTATGCTTTTGCTACAATGTTCTTCTTGGCTATCGGTACATATCTGCATTGCATTCTACAATTTCGCAATTTCGCCGAATTGATACGCGGGTGGGTTCTCTCAGTTTTGAAAATGACTCACATTCGTTTTAGACAAGACAATTTGCAAAAGTGAAATTTGGACACCGATGGGATGCGCTGTGCGGCAGCAGAACAATGAACACAAATGTAATATGCAAAATCGAACTACACACTGGCGGTAACAGAAGAAAAAGCGTGGAAGATGAAAAGCGTAGGCAGGAGAACTCAAAGTAGTAGGATTCTGATGATTCTGATGATTTTGCGCCTCTTTAACAAAAGCGGCCAGCGGCGGCTACGGGCTGCTACGGGCTGCTGGCAGCTGCTACGGGCTGCTAGCGGCGGCCGGCGCGGTATGAAGGCACCCTCAGGCAGATCTGTTTTCTTCACCCGTTACCGTGTACCTACCATAAACTGAGAAAATGACGCTAAGGTACAAAACCAATGTGATATTCGGCGTCAGCGGACCAAATAACCCCCGTGGGTCACGTTTCAGCGATTTCTGGGATTTTGACCCCTTACCGTATACCTTCCATAACCCGAAAAAATGACATTTGGCACCAGCGCACCGAATAACCTTCTGGGCCAGTTTCAGCAAAATCCATGCGAAAAAAAATTTTGGGGCCTGGATACTGGAATAGAGCCTAATTCCCTCAAAAATTTTCGGGCAGCCCTCTACAGTACAGCTGCCACCATGCGGGGAAGCGCCTCCGTGCAGGAAAGTATGATATTCGTGGTGGTAAGTCAGAGATGATCCTTGTGGACGAAGTTTGAGGTAAACTCGTGTCTCGAAAAAATGTGGCACGGATAGCCAAAAGCGCCGATCTTACAAAGAAGAATATCTGATAGAATGTGGGCGCCCTTGGAGTGCTGCATCCATGGACAATAAGCTGCATATTCGAAATCAGAAATGCAGCACTGTGTGTAAGCATCCGCACATGCTCTTGACTCCCTCGGATGAGCTGAGCTAAAACTGTGCTCTGCACCTTTTGAAGATATCAATAAATTGCCCTCCCGTACGTGGAAAGTGCTGTTTGTGGGGCGGGGGGGGGGGGGGGGTGGGGGAGGGGGGTAACGGAACCTTCCCTTCTTACAAGGGAAGGATTCTTGGTTGAAGTGGAGTTTTCGTATGAAATGTATACTATCTTATAGAGCATGGAACGCTGATACCAAATCTGCTTTTTGAATCTGCAAAAGCTTTCGGGAGAAGAGTTAGAGGGGTTTTTTGCGACAAAATTCAAGGGTTTGGTTAGACCGCAGGTATTGAGGTCTTTCCGGCACGTGAAAGGAGTAATGACTAACATAAGCTTATTAAAATGAATGTATCGATTGCGAAAGCGCTTTGGCAGTAATCATGGCCCCATTTGAGCTCACAGACCACAGTTCTTGGTGATTTTACTGTAGCCACGCGCACAAATCTTTGCTTCAAAAAATTTCTTTGCTTCAGAAAACTCTTATAGCATCCCTCCCAGAAGCGCTTTGCAGATACCGAAAGCAGAAATCAGCGTTTCATGGTCTATAACAGTGTTCACATTTCACATTGCAATGCCACTTCGACCAACTATCCTTCCCTTGTTATGATCGGCTGCACGAAATCGCCCAGATCGCTGTAGGCTGGACGCCCGCGAGCGTGCCTGCAACGCGACTGCCGAGTACGGGCGCTATGATAACTCAAGCGCGCGAATGCCAATGTTAGCCCGCCAGAGACCCGCGCGCGGGCATTGAGTCCGGGCGATTCCGTGCAGCCAGCCATAGAACGATTGGCTGTCTATATCTATGGCAGTAACCAATAATCATTTGCCACCGAGATGGATACGATGTCTCCACCTAATCGGATTACACGGCTCTCCAGAGGGCAGCCTTTCGCCTCCCGCCCAAACATTTTAAGTCTGGAAAAGCGAGTTATTGATATCTTTTGAAGCTGCAATATAGTCTTAGAATTAGCTCATCCACGGGAACCGAGAACAGGGCCCGGCATGAGTCCGTTTCTAATTGAAAACAAAGTCCCCCTTGACTTTTGCCAAAATTTACGAAGTCCCTTTTGACCCCAAACTATATCAAAAAGCCTTGAAAAACGAAAACGTCGACTGAAAAAAACGTCGCAGATTTGCGTCTTTTCGGCCAAAAACGATATCCCCATTGCTTTTCCGCCCCTAAAACGAAGTCCAGATCGTTTGCATACGATCTGTGCCAGACCCTGACCGAGAACGCACAACTAGTTAGCTGATGTCATTTGGCGCCATATTCGATGGAAGTCGACGTGGCGTCTTTCCCTTCACAACAACGGTATTTTTGAAATGAAAAAGCCTCGCAAAATGAGAGAACGATAAAAAGGCCTTACCAGTGGAAGATTTTTGTTGTAGCGAATCATGCAAGCCGACTTAATTTCCCTACAACGTGACACCAAATGATGTACTAATTGCGGCGTTTTGCTGAAGCAGGCATCGGTTAGTCTGGCGCCTACCTGACTGCCTCAGTCAGCTTTGCTGCTGCTAGAATCCGCATGAACTCCCAGTTACCAAACAGCTCTTCGGCTGTGTAGCACGACTGTATTTTTTTTGGAAATGAGTGTAGTAGAGAATGCTGACACTGTGCCAATAATTTTTCATATTCTGAACGTGCATGGGTAATTTTAGTATGCCCCTTGCTCCGCGTCTATCTGCGGCACGCATGACTTATGGAGCAACATGCAACATGTTGCATCAAGACTAATTGCATGTTGCCAACATATTAGCCAAAAGTGCAGCAGGTCGAGACGCAAAGCAGTGGAAGAGGCATTAGTGGAATGGACGATAGATCTTACAAAAATGTATTCCGTACACAAACTATTATTGATTCAATTCGATACTACGAAAATGGCGGTCTTCAATAGTCGGGAAATTCATAACATAAAATGACTAACGATAAGAAAAATCGATATCCACACATAGCTAGAATGAAAGAAAAGAATAGAGTAACAGTTAGAAATAACAAGAGTGACAAACTAACGAAAATCAGAAAACTATCTGGAATTCGCCAGATGCAGCGCTGATTTCGGAGCGTGAACATCAAATTCTCCCCAGTTATCCGTGAATTTCACGCGGCAACAGATGCTGTTGACCTGTAATACCGTCGGAGATAAATACAATCTAAGGGCCGCATGCACTAACATCCCCGCGGGGAGGGGATCGCAGCTTAAAAGAAAGCCTTATATTTCGAAACTCCAGATATCTGGATTTCACGTTGTGTACCTATCCGTAAGTATTCCTACTACCCTTCACTATGAACATGTTGAAGAGGAGCGAGAAGCTGTACGAACCGCATTTTCCAGCTTTTGTATGATCCCTGATGATCCCCGGCGCTTTTCTTTAAAGTCATTTTTCTTACTCCGAAGTTAACGAAAACCTTCCAAAGTCGTACTGAACATCTGACACAACAGTGCTAAGCATGTTGCTGATGAGAACAAATGATGTTTTGAAGACATGAAATTTTCGATGATCCACAGTTCGAAATTTGAGGTTTGCCGAAAAATTCGACTTTTGAAAAACTCATTTGTTCTCATCAGCAACATGCTTAGCACTGTTGTGTTAGATGTTCAGTACAACTTTGGAAGGTTTTCGTTAACTTCGGAGAAAGAAAAATGACTTTAAAGAAAGGCGCCGGGGATCATCAGGGATCATACAAAAGCTGGAAAGTGCGGTTCGTACAGCTTCTCGCTCCTGTTCAACATGTACATAGTGAAGGACAGTAGGAATAGTTACGGATAGGTACACAACGTGAAATCCAGGTATCTGGAGTTTCGAAATATAAAGCTTTCTTTTAAGCTGCGATCCCCTCCCCGCGGGGATGTTAGTGCATGCGGCCCTAACTGTGAAGCTCGAGGAACTACCGCCATCACTCGTCCTTTGGTGAAAGCCCAGTCGCTTCCTAATGGAGGCGTCTGCTCTGATCTCAGATTTGTATTCACAGCAATATATGTTCGTTCTCCTTTATATGCAATAAGATTGCAGTTGATGCATTTGTAATTTCCGCTTGTATCTAAATAACATGATTCCAGTTTCAAGAAGAATTAACATTATACTGTACAGTCTTCCCATTCGAGTTACGTCATTATACCTTATTTAATTGAAAGCTCAACTGGACGTTGCCAAAATTATTTTGCACAGAGGGGTTCTTAGGCACTCCTCTACGCACATCGATTGCTGTGTGGGTATAGGATAGGTACGTGAAAATTATATAGATATCATAGAAGGGTGGTGGAAGGGTGGTGGAAGGGGTCTTCAGGAACTTTACTGCGACTATATTGCGTTAGAGTCTTTTCTGCGACTGCGCTGAATTAGGCACTATTACTCGGCGCAAAAGTCTCGTTTGAGCGCTAAAGATATCATAATTGTAAACTCTACTGCAGCTGACCACAATATAAAGCTTTAGGATTTTGGACATTGTTCACGCGATTTCGTCGCCTGGCGATCTTCCCGACAAGACAAATGTTGCAAATCTACTACATGTCGATCACCTTGCCTAACCGTATTCACAACGCACAATTCTTTTCAACCTCAACAGAAAACATTTTTTGAAATGAATTCAAAGGCAGTGGATCGGCAAAATGGGCTCCTGTTAGATTTCGGTATTGTTAGGTAGTAGACCCAAGTCTCGGCAGCCCCAACCTCACCCTCCAATTCATTCGCTAAGTCCTGTAAGGCCTCCGGCAGAGTTCACGCGATTTGATCGTCGCGATTCGATCGCTACAGACAAATGTTACGAGTTCACTGCTGCCGATCTTCCTGCATTTCGGTTGTGATAGTTTTCCAACACGACTAATCGTGACTAACTATCACAAGCGAAATACATGAAGATCGGCATGCAATGAACTCGTAACACTTGTCCTATAGCGATTGAATGCGACGACCAAATCGCGTGAACTCTGTCCGAGGCCGAAAGGAGCTTTAAAACTCCACCAGCCCCGCCTACTTCCATTGAGTGGGCGTCACTGGTGGAGTTTTGAAGGTTTTTTTCAGGACTTAGCACATAAATAGGAGGGTGGGGTTGGGGCTACGGTGTACTCCAGGGGTCTACTAACTGAAACTACCAAAATCTGACAGGGGTCCATTCTGCCGACCCATTGCTAACAAGAAGCTTAGAAGCACTTACTCAAGGTGCAACTAAGGCAGGCTTCAACTTGCTCCATGTTGAGGTTAAAGGCAGTGGGTCGGCAGAATGAGACCCGTGGCAAAACAAGGTCACAGGGTAGGAGCCCCATAATGGAACCTATGGGCCAAAGTTCGATCTTTCTCTGCCACTTCTAACCCCCGAAATTTCAAGGCGAAAGCAGCGCTCATCTCCTGTCCTCTCCGAACCCGCCCACGCCATGGACGAGTGACTTCCGCGGTCAGAGCGCCAGCCGCAATGCTATAAGCATGAGGTCCCGCAACGACTCTGCGTCTTCGCCATGACGGGCTTCGCGTTCACTCGTCCGTGGGGTGGGCGGGTTCGGAGAGGACAGGTGATGAGCGCTGCTTTCGCTTTGAAATTTCGGGGGTTAGAAGTGGCAGGGAAAGGTCGAACTTTGGCCCATAGGTTCCATTATGAGGGCTCCTACCCTGTGACCTTGTTTTGCCACAGGTCTCATTCTGCCGACCTACTGCCTTTAAAGTTACCTTATATATTGCCTTGAGCGTGCATCTCAAGCTTATTACCTTAAAGGCAGCGTCCAGGCAGATCTGGACCTATAGGGCTTTTACGTGGAAAGTACTTTTGGGGCCCTAACTAAGGCACTGCCCAAGCGGCAGCTCAGGTAGTGCTCTAATGGCTGAGATATTCCCCTCAAAACTGGCCCCCGCGAACGTATTCGCATAGATTCATGGCAGTTTCGCGCCAGGATCCACGCTTTGCGCCATGAATCCATGCGAAACACGGTCGCGGGGTCCAGTTTCGAGGAGAATATCTCAGCCATTACAGCACTACCTGAGCTGCCGCTTGGGCAGTGCCTTAGTTAGGACCTCAAAAGTACTTTCCACGTAAAAGCCCCATAGGTCCAGATCTGCCTGGACGTTGCCTTTAAAGGCACCGTCCACCCTAAGTTGAGGGTGTTGAGCTTTTGGCAGCATATAACAGTAGGGCCTCCTATCAAGCCAATGCCCAAGTCGCGGCGCAGTATGCCGCTTCGGAAGCTAGAAAATCGCTTCGGAATAGCGAAGATGCACGAGGACCCCCAACCATGCCCCTCCCCATCATGACCGCCCATTTGTGCGTCCGTTCTGGAAAGCAGGCATGTGGGTCCTCCGAAATGGGGACTGCCGGGGTTTTCGCGGATTTTCTTCATAATTGGAATCGGGACATGAGAAGGCCCCGAAACGACAAAAACCTTGAAGTCGAGAATCTGGGTGAATGGTGCCTTTTAGGTACATTTTATTCTTGAGGTTTGTGAATACGGTAAATCGCTTTCTGAGTCGACCCATATAGTTGACTGCACGAAATCGCCCAAAGTGAACGCCCGCGAGAGTGTCTCTTGCGGGCTAACATTGGCATTCACGCGCATGAGTTATCATAGCGCCCGTGCCCGGTAGCCGCGTTGCAGGCACGCTCGCGTGCGTTTAGCCCACAGCTACCCGGGCGATTTCGGGCACTCGACTTTACCTCAAGGTATTTTTTAACCTTGAAGTAACAGATAAGCGTACCTTGTTAAGCCTTGTGTTACCTTCTGGGTGTATCCCATTACTTGTGACTGCCAATTACGCAGGCGCCGCGCGACAGGCTGGCAGTAATCACCGCGGAGAGCTCGGGTAGCCGACTCGCAAGGCATACTATTCCATTTTTGGAAAAGTTTTTACACTATCGTATCAAATTTTGTACTGTTTAGTGGAAGTTTGGCCCCAAATCTCGCGAAAATGAAAAAGATAGTGAATGGAAATATGAAAATTACTATGTATGGTCACAGAATATGTACTTTTTGTTCACTATAACAACGTGACCCCTAAACATTTCCTCTGGGACATTTCCTCTGGCCATACGTGTGCAAAGGAGGAACATGGCCTCTCCAGGGTGAAGGTGTCATAGGGGTCCCGCCTCTCCAGGGTGAAGGGGGTATGAGGGCCGACGGGGGGGGGGGGGGCAATGTTCGTCATCATTGCTTCTCATGTTCTTTTCATTCACATGCATCAAGTGAAATTGTAGTCAAACCGGATTAAAGAAGAATATTGAAATTCGGAGAAGAAAAACTGGAAGAAGTGAGATTAAGAAATCAACATTTTAAGCAAAATTATAAAACTATCGGCATTATTAAGATCAGATTCAGTGAATGTTGATTCTCAATATTATTATTATGATTATCAAGAACTTATTTGCAGGTTTACCGAGAAGTACGTCGGAAATATGCCGCCTATTGTTCACTTTTGAAAAATGACAAAAAGCCTGGAGAAAAACTTACGTGTAAAGCCTTCATGTATATATTTCAATGAAGTTACTCACGTATTTTCTCAAATAATAAGTGAAATAATAGGTGAACTTCGATGATCGGTGCGCAGTTGAATCGCATCCTTTTAAGGGAATAAATTTCTATGCAGATGGCGGAATCCGTGAAAAGTCATTGACTGATTCCTTGAAGAGTCATTGTTCCAACTTTTAACATTATTTCTAAACTGTGACAGAGATACTAACGTTTGCGTAGAGAAGAAGGTGCAACTAAGGGCACGTATTACATCGAAGGCTAAGTGTAATCACGATTAGTGTTACTGACAAAATACAATAGCTACGAGGATCTTGGAGTTCTACAATCCGCCTACTTGGACGATGATATGGATGAGGAAGGACAGCCAGAAGTGCATTGTTCCACGTTGGAGCACTATACAAGAGAAGAAGGACAGTCGTATATGATCACTGCGTGATTATTCTGAAAAAAAAAATTTGTTTTCCATCGAAGAAGATTGAGAAATATAAAAGATCCTAGCAGGAAAACGCGGTCATAATTAGCCTAGTCTAGTTTAGAAGTCTAGTTTCCATCCGCTTTTAGAAAACATACAGCTTGCCAGGAGAAAGAGGAATTTTATTCTGCCAGGTAGAGATAGTTTTAGTCATTTTCTCAAAATTGTAGAATTTTTGTATAAAAAATTGTAAATTTTTGATATGAGAGATAAGAGAGTCTCTACCCATACATTGAATTACTCTTGTTGAAAGCTTTCAGAAAATATATAGCTTACCAAGAAAGAAAGGATTTTCCTGTAGGGTGAATGTGGTCGCAATTGTTTTTCTAAAATTAAGGAGATTTTTTTTATAAAAATTCATAACTTTATTATATAAAAAGCTAGAAGAGTGTTTTGCACTCTACTGGAATCCCTTCGTCGTCCGCTTTCAGAAAATATACAGTATGCCAAGAAAAAAGAGGATTTTCCTATTGGGTGAAAGGGGTGTAATCTATTTTTCGGAATTAAGCCAATTTTTAAATTTAAAAAATCATAACAATTTTATATGAGAAGCTGGGAGAGCGATTAGGCGTTCTTGATTGATTCCTCTCGTCGTCCGCTTTCAGAAAATATATAGGTTGTAGGGAGAGGGATGCTAAAAGTACGTGGTGAAAGGGGGAGGAACATGGTATAATGGAAATGTTCCATTCTGTACTCAAAAAACGTCGTTTTAAGGAGCTAAAGGAACATGCCCATTACACCATGTTCCTCCCCCTTTCACCACGTACTTTTAGCATCCCTCTCCCTACAACCTATATATTTTCTGAAAGCGGACGACGAGAGGAATCAATGAACGCCTAATCGCTCTCCCAGCTTCTCATATAAAATTGTTATGATTTTTTAAATTTAAAAATTGGCTTAATTCCGAAAAATAGACTACGACCCCTTTCACCCGATTGGAAAATCCTCTTTGTTTTTGGCATACTATATATTTTCTGAAAGCGGACGACGAAGGGATTCCAGTAGAGTGCAAACACTTCTAGCTTTTCATATACAAATCCTTTCTTTCTTGGTAAGCTATATATTTCCTGAAATCTTTCAACAAGAGTAATTCAATGTATGACTAGAGACTCTCTTATCTCTCATATCAAAAATTTACAATTTTTTATACAAAAATTCTACAATTTTGAGAAAATGAAAACTATCTCTACCTGGCAGAATAAAATTCCTCTTTTTCCTGGCAAGCTGTATCTTATATATAAAGCTGAATGTCTGTTTGTCTGTATGTCTGTCTGTATGTATGTCTGTCTGTACGTATGTTCCGAATAGAAAATTCTTTTGCCCGATCGGGACCAAACTTGGCACACATACACTTCGGGCCCCGGCGGGTGTCATAGGCTACTTTTCGTCATCGATCGATATCGATTTTATCGATTTTTTGCAAAATTTGTGCTAGCTGGGAGTTGGCACAGGGGGGTAATCGAGCATGCTGATCACCCCCGTGTGGGTGATCAGCATGCTCGATTACACTCCCCTGCCAAATTCCAGCCCCCTAGCTCAAATTTTGCAAAAAATCGATAAAATTGACATCGATCGATAACGAAAAGTGGACTGTGACACCCGCCGGGGCCCGAAGTGTATGTGTGCCAAGTTTGGTCCGCATCGGTTAAGAAATGGAATTTTCTATTCGGAACATACGGCGGAGCCGGGTAAGCCAGCTAGTACTTTCTAAAAGCGGATGGAAACTAGACCTCTAAACTAGACTAGGCTAATTATGACTGCGTTTTCCTGCTAAGATCTTTTATATTTCTCAATCTTCTTCGATGGAAAACAAATTTTTTTTCAGAATAATCACGCAGTGATCATATACGATTGTCCTTCTTCTCTTGTATAGTGCTCCAACGTGGAACAATGCACTTCTGGCTGTCCTTCCTCATCCATATCATCGTCCAAGTAGGCGGATTGTAGAACTCCACGATCCTCGTAGCTATTGCATTTTGTCAGCAACACTAATCGTGATTACACTTAGCCTTCGATGTAATACGTGCCCTTAGTTGCACCTTCTTCTCCACGCAAACGTTAAAATCTCTGTCACAGTTTAGAAATAATATTAAAAGTTGGAACAATGACTCTTCAAGGAATCAATCAATGACTTTTCACGGATACCGCCATCTGCATAGAAAATTCATTCCTCTTCAAAAGAATGCAATTCAACTGCGCACCGATCATCGAAGTTCACCTATTATTTCATTATTTCAGAAAATACTTGAGTAACTTTATTGACATATATACACGAAGGCTTCGCAAGTAAATTTTTCTCCAGGCTTTTTCGTCGTTTTCCAAAAGTGAACAATAGGCGGCAAGTTTCAGACGTACTTCTCAGTGAACCTGCAAATGGGTTTTTGATGGTCATATTAATGATGTTATGAATTAAAATATTACTAAATTTAATTTTTATAATGTGGATAGTTTTATAATTTTGCTTAAAATGTTAATGTCTTAGTCTCACTTTTTCCAGTTCCTCATCGGCCGTGGTTGAAGGGGGGTTAGCTGGGCCTGGGCCCCTGGGGTGAAGGGGGTAGAAACACATTATCGCCTTTTCACATGTATGCCTCTGGCCCTGCTGCCTCTCGCCCGACTTACTGTGTTCCCGCGTCGCGGCAATTTCCAGTTGACACCCACAAGTAATGGGCGCCCCCCCCCCCTTACCTTGTGCGTTGCGAGTACGGGTATGCGCTTCCTTGGTATATTTTATCTCGAAGTACATTGACGAATACGGCGACAGCTTGCCAAATACCTCTCTGGACAACGATTGAGCAAGGCTCACGATCTGGGCTCTCGGTCAACAAATGCGAAACGTTACCGAGTCCTCAAAGCGACCGCCGTCGCATACAGTCATGCCCTGTTTCTTACAGCTAGCTTCTCCGCAGCTTACAAGTGGTGCTTGTGAAAAATGCACTACGGGTAGTACCAAGTTGCGGCAGGAACTGGTTAAAGATCGAATCATGAAGTCAATCTTACAAGGAATCAAAGCGTATGTGGTGATAGCCCTCGTCGTCCACTTTACTACATCCCCTGCATGGCATGCACACATTTGTGCAAGATCCGGTAGATTATAGAACTGCAATGGATTTGATAGCATGAGCACCAAAATACACAAAATCTTTACCTCAGCTTCGCTTCGTAGACTTTCGCGGGTGTCATCATCTGAAGGAGGGAGGAACCTTTCTCCTTCCCTTAGGTAATTCAGTACCTTGAAACATCTACATTAGAATTTTCAAAACTCATCTAATGGTACCTTTGCGAAGTGTGTTGGGTCCCTATCAATGAACACCTCTTCCTCTTTTTGCTGACGATCAGCAACCATAGCGGAAAGCAACTTTAAAGATTTTAGATGTATCATATTACATTATCTTGACAAGAGCGTCACACTTTATAGACCGCCTTAAAGGCAGTGTCCGGGCAAAAACACGATTTTGAGATTTTGTGCTTACTTGGGCCTATTCGCTACGCTGAATCCGAAAATGCACACTGGAAAGCGCGAAAACGGCAAAAAAGGGCTCTAACACAGGAGGGAAATGAGCAGGTGGGCGGGGTCCTCCCCACTGTGAATTCACGTTCCCGGCTTCCGGAGCGACCTTCTCGCTCCCGGTTTCAAGTCAATCATTCGCACTTGGCCGGTATCGATGTTAGAACGGCTAGCGGAATCGAGAAAATCGCTCCAGAAGCTGGGAGCGTGAAATCGCACTGGGGAAAGCCCCGCCCACTTGCTGATTTCCCTCCTATATTAGAGTCCTTTATCGCCGTTTTCGCGCTTTCCACTGTGGATTTTCGGATTCAGCATGGCGAATAGGCCCGTATAAGCACAAAATCTCAAAATCGAGTTTTTGCCCGGACACTGCTTTAACATGAGTGTCACAACTGCAGCGGCTCAGACCTTCGCGGCCGCCTCGCTCCGGCCTTGCGCCACTTCGCGCAGTACCCTCTAGGTCTCACGACTAATTATCGAATGAACGGTGTTGAGGCTTGAGGAAATGGCGAACGCAGCGCAAAACACAAGCGAAGCGGTCGCTAAGGTCCGAGCCGCTAGAGCTGTGATACTCACATTGCGACAGCCTATATGCGGCTCTGGCACTCGCGGCAGCCTCACTCGGTCATGCCCCGTTCGGCCGTCGTACTCTGGTCTGGTCTTTTTTTTTTCAGCATGAGTGGCTGGGCACGGTGCCCAGTAGATACGACAAACGAGCACGAGCTAGTCGACTGCAAGCGGGGGAGCAGCTAGAGCTGTGGCACTTTCTGGAATAGCCTGTGGGCCGTCCGCGCAGGGCGCGGAGAGTGCGCAAGGTGTGTATTGCGCGTCACTCCTCTTTCCCCATGCACTCTCGCCGCCTGTTTTCTCTGCGCTTCTTTCAGTCGTGAGTTGTCTTCAGTGTACGCAACAGCGTTGCTCTCCGTGCGCAGCGCGGACGGCCTATATTAATCCTAGAAGAAGACTCACACTATCTTTCACGCTGTTGACACTTGTAAAAGAGGTTGTAAAAACAACCCCACCAACATTGATTTTTACGCGCTCGCCACAGGATGGATGTTTGTGCTTTTCCTGAAATTTTTGAACCAGTAAAATATTCCCTGAAAATCTTATATATAGGCGACATTCATGCGTATAGCGGGCGTTACCCTGCAGACATCTGAACACGTTAAAAAATGTTGAACCTCCATTCTAAAGCATTCATTCTCGTATAGTCAGTCTCAAACACATGCCCCTTTTCCGCAGCAACTACGCGTTCCAGCGCGCCTTCGCGTACGCGGCACGGTGCTGTAGCGTTGAGTTAAAGGCAGCGTCCAGGCGTCATACAATTCCAATTAGGAGTTTGAATGTCAATGAATGTCAATTTCCCAGCGACTAACTGGACATTTTCTTTTTCGAACTAAAAAAACTGAGGATTTTCTCTTACAATACTTCGAAATCTTTCATATAAGACCTCAAATGGGCTAAAAGAGTTAGGTCACCTCAACGACAACCTCATTTTCACCTCTCACTAACCAGCAGTTTGGAAGAGCATAGTTCGACAAGGCCAGGCAAGTTGTAAAACTGAAATCAATTGAATGATTAGGTACTAGTCTTGCATGTCGCCCACTTCAGCTTCTCTTCGAAGACATTTCAAAGAGACATAGTCTTCCGGTAGAACTACGTATTCTCCATCTCTTAGGTAGTCGAGTACCTGGAAGCATAAAGCTTCTTCTCACCAGTGAGAGAACATGCAGTACTTTTGCAAAGTAAGTCGAGTTCCTGTCAATGAACAGCTCCTCCTGTTGCTGCCAGCGGTCAGCGACCAAGGCAGAGAACATCTTTAAAACTTTGCGTTAGCGAAACGAACGCCAGCAAAAGCATTGGACTTACACTACCGCTGTATTTTGTCAGAGTGGATAGCGAAGTTTCGAATATAGTCCCGCCTACGTTCAACTTCACTCGTCCTTCGAAAGGTTGATCATCTGCCTGAAATCTCCAATACTACCAGAAGAAATTGCTCATGTACTGTATTAGAAACTAAAGAATCATTACAAATACAATTTTCTATCCCTCAGACTAATCAAAAACTCACCATCTTGCAGACGCAACTTTCGGCGAAATTTGATTACGAAGATTAGCTCTATTTGAAAAAAGCGCTTCTGCAGCCAAGATACTGTAGATCAGGATCGTGTCACGACCTGCTAAACAGTCGCGAATCTGGCGTGGTTTTTACGATGCCTTCATGCAGGTGGGCTGATTCGCATAGATTCTAGGTGGAATGAGGTTTGAAAAGGCTCAAACCTGAACGTAGGTTCCGTAAAAGGGAGTCGGAGTTTACCTTTTGAGATCATATAAGGACACATAAGTCACTGCACGTCGAATTTTCTTCTATGGCCTTCAAAGATCCAGAAGATCCATTTTAAAAGCCATTGCGTCAAAAACAGCACTGATAAAGCTGCTCGAAAAGAAATCCTAGCATGGAATTCCCTCACAATGTTTGCATTTCAATGAATTTTTGATATGACTGCTGAGGTGATAAACCTTTATTTAAAAAGAAATTTACGCTGCCCTATGGCCTAAGGCATACTTTACGCGATTTGGCGAAATCGCCACTTTCACGCGACTTGGCGTTTTGCCAGATTTCTACAGATTTATCGTGCGCGCTTCTCGAACGCATGGGCGGATAGCTTGTGTAAGTTGTTGCAAATTGGTTAAGTTCTGACCAAAGGAAACGCATTAACGACGAATTTCAGCGAGTCGCTGTTGTGCCAAATCGCGCAGAGACAGGAATCGCGCGAGGTATGCCTTAGCCCTATAGGCCTCGGACAGAGTTCACGCGATTTGATCGTCGCGATTCAATCGCCACGATTCAAAAATATCGGGCTGGAAAAAGTACCAGAATCGAAATGCAAGCTGGTCGGCATGCAATGAACTCGTAACAGTTGTCTTGTCGCGATTGAATTGCGACGATCAAATCGGGTGAACTCTCCCCATAGACTTCTGCAATCGCTCGCAAAAGTGGTGGTCCCAAGACTTTCGTGCGTGGGGGAGGGGAGGAAGGGCGCGATAAAAAATTTTTTGAATGCAGGTTCAAATATATTGAAATGCTTTTCATGTTCTTGTGGACCCATAACGCCAAATCTTCAGAAAAAGGGTTTGTGACGGCAGCCGTGTCCTTGAAAACTTTACAGCATTAACTTATTTGAAAAATTGGAAATTTAATTATTTAGAAGAGTCAATTGCACATTTTTTAACTCATGTAAGCCTTTTTCAATCCGCCCGTTCCTCTCTCACTCCTTTCGATCCGCCACTGGCCTTCAGCTGTAGTTATGAGAGGTGAAGAGTCAACAATTATGTCTAAATAGAACTGAGGGCCGTCTGCTGGTTTTCTTTGTATATCCAAAGTTATTTTGCCTACTGCACCCGATCATTGTGCCACAGTACAAAATATAACTCTTGAAGAGATTATTGCAAGATTATCATGTTTACCGGCTAGAATGAAATCGTTCAACATGACTCAATTTTAGAAGAACGTTTCGAGAATGACATAGAATGACATTTGTAACAAATTTCATGGAAACTTGACTTTTCTTTCTCTATCTATATCTGGTGACAGTCGACGTAGCAAACAGTCCCAGCCGACTTAGCAGATATGATCGGGGACTTTCGGCGAAGTAGCCGAACTGACAGATGCTGCGTCCAGAGTTGACGACACTGCAGTATGGGAACATCGATTGATCGGCGCGTCCACGTGAGATCTGAACAACACTGGCACGACGCTGTAACGACTTTGGCCGAACGCCAGCATAAGAGCAGCTCTGAACGATTTCCAAGTAATGCGACATTACCTCACTTTTCAGTTCGGGAAAATTCGGAAGAAATCCGGAAGGAAATCTTCATGGATTGATTTTGTATGTCATAAATATTTGGGTTGATTTCTACCTCCGTGAATGGCATTTGTCTCGCTATAATCATCGATCTAATAAAACCTTCACCGGATACAATGTCGACCAGAATTTTTTTGCGACCTCTTCTGCTCGTAAGCTGTGCACGCATATTTTGACTTATGATGAGGGTTTTTTCAAGCAATGAATGGAGTGCCTCATGAGGACAGACCCAGACAGACAAAAAATGATGGCAGACCTAATATCCAGCCAACTCTCCAAGAGCTTTTGTTTCATAAATCTCATAGTCAGATCAGAGGTACGATGGGTGGAGCCGGGCCCCCAAAAGTGAAGGTGGTTCCAGCTACCACTGGCCGGAAAAAGTGAAGGTGGTAGTGCTGGACAATCACCTCCCAAGAACTTCGACCGGAGGGAGGGGAGCGAGGGAGACATTTGAAGGTCGATGTCGACGGGAGAAGTGGGGAGCAAGCTCGAAGTTACTTTCGCAAAAAAAATTTCGTTCTAAAAAGCTCCATAAGCTTTTCCAGTGACTAACAGGAAGGAGAAATAAGAAAAACAATTTTAAAGTTAACAAAAGCCTTTTTCTCGCTCATTTTACTTTAGGAACTTGCCATAGCCTACTGCGAGCACCCAAAGGCCACCCTAGCATGGACGCATCCAAGCCTCAGCACTTCCCACAAATTCGGAGGACAAAGCTTCTTGGTTAATTTTGAGAGCTCTAACCCATCACCCTCTTTAGAGCCACAAATACGATGAGTACAGCGGCATAAATATTTGAAATAAACGTGCTAATCAAATGGTGTATTTATAAGTAAGACTTAGCTAGACTTAACGTATTTTATTGAGTAAATTTTGTTGCAACGTACTGCGAATAAAGTAGGTCGATCCAGGCAGCAACCACCGAGAGCCAGAATCATGACTTATAATAAAGCGCTAAACGTCTGTCTTTTTTTTTGTGTGTGTGTTTTTCGGATAGCAATTTTCATCTCTGAACCGATCCGGACCAAAGTTTATACAGATCCACATCGGGGCGGGAAGTGTGGTAAGCCATTTTTCGTTATCGGAGATGGGGGGGGGAGAGAGTAAGTGAGCTTGCTGATTACGTATGGTTGACAGAGCTGGGCGGAGCCTGGTTTGCCAGCTAGTATTTTATAATCTCCTCATACTAGACCTCATAATAGCAATTTATATTTGAAAACAGACAGAATTGATCATCAACAATTTAGTCCTGTTGTATCTGAACTGAGGCATTAACTCTCTTATAATTTTAATGCATGTGGAACCTTTCTTCGAAACAGAATGTGGCCAATGATTATATGAAACTATCAAATCTTAACCCTTTCGGACTTATTGGTGGCATTTGCCACCGTCAATTCACAGACCTGAGATACTGGCGTAAAAGCATATTTTAACTACACACTGCTATAGATCGCTTCAAACAGCCTTTGCCTTCCAAACGTCGCTTTGAAACCGTGTTTCATTTGTCTTCCTGTCGGCATCACACAAATTTCTGTATACAAGTAAATGACAACCAATTAATAATTTGTGCCGGGTCCAGCACCGTGTCGTAATAAAGCTTGAGTGGGATGTTGTGCAAGTGTAGTTGCTAACTGTTTGCAGGCCTACATGTAATGAAGAAGATTTGAAAATCAAACATACAAACTACCAAAAAATTAAAAAAAACAAAAAGAATTAGTTTATAAGGTTAAAAACTCCAAACTCCGCTGTAATGTCATCCATATGGTAGTAAGTAAAAACTATAGGAGAGAGGGTTCCTTGCTCACTCGCAGAAACTCAGTTCCGAAAGCATTAATGTTAGCTTCAAACAAGGTTCGTTGAGCCAAATCTACTTTCGAAACCACTTTACCTCGAAAAGCTGGTAGAATATGTGAGCGCATTTATAACCGATATGCTAAACAAGAAGGAGGTAGTTATGTAGTAAACATCATTGAGCGGCAAAAGCACGGATTATTTCGATACCAAAGTTCCTAGGCCCTGGACTTGACTAAACACCGATACTCTTTGGGTTGGACAGTCATGCCAAAGGTCCTGTCCGTAATAGGTGGAGCAGTACGGTCCACGCATGAGAGCTAAAAGCAAGTTAGTATTGAAATGCTTACATGTAAAGATCAGAATTTCCTTACTTTGGAGCGATTCAACAGATTTGCTATGAAAAGGAATAATTCCATTTTCGCTAATCCTTCACCCAAACATTGTCGTTTGCCAATAGAAAATGGTATCAGTTCGTCAACCTTTGCAAAATAACAGAGTTCCCGAATGAGCTAGCAAAACAAAATAAACCCCACCTTTTTCAGCTTGCCATTGGTGTCGATGAATCTTGATGGATTGAATGTCAGCGGACTGGGGAATAGCTTAAGAAACCTTAAGGCATTTCCGAGACAAATTATTTCTAGTTTGCTTACCTCTTCGTCATATAGGACATTGCTAATCTGAGCAATGACACCGGTTTTGGCTGGGATGTTCCATCCTCCAATGCGGACGTCTCGCACTAGTTCATGAGGTAAGTTCATTGGAAGGAGATTTGCCATCCGTTGAATTTCCTGAAAAATGTGCTATCTTAATTTACGGCGAAGTACTGAAATTCTTAGGAAATTTGCCAAAGAACTTTCCATTAGGCGGGTCCGAAAGTTTTGCCGTTTTTTAGACCTACCCTTAAATCATTCAGAATAAAGATAGACAAACATTCTAAGCAATGTTCTATGCAGAATTTCTTCTTCTTTCCAGCACTAATATATTTTTATTCGAACCTTTTGATATTCACTTGAAAAATCGCCAGGATCTTAAGCCCATGGTTCACCCTATCTTCTGCTATTTTTTTTACACTTTGGTTCTGGAGTTTCGGAAATGCTTTAATTACAGTTAAATAGCGTAAACAGAATGCGATGTAACACAACTTTCTGCCATCGGTAGCCGGCTTTCCAAATCTTATACATAAAGCTGAATATCTGTTTATATGTATGTGTGTATGTCTGTATGTGTGTACGTATGCTCCGAATAGAAAATTCATTTTTGAACCGATCCGAACCAAACCATACACTTCGGGGCGGGGGGGGGGGGGGGGGAAAGGGTGTCACAACTACCTTTCGTCATCGATCGATGTCGATTTTATCGTTTTTTATCGATTTTTTGTAAAGTTTGACCTGCAGGGCTGGGAGTTTGCACATGGGATGATCGAGCATGCTGATTACGAATACAATATTAGTTCTTAGAATTATCAGCCATTTCTATCGATTTTATCGATTTTCTTCGCAAAGTTTGAGCTAGGTGCTGGGAGTTGGCACAGGGGAATAATCGAGCATGCTGATTACTAAAACAGTAGAAATAGGGATTTGGCATGTAGACTTGGGCATAGGGAAAGGTTGTTCAAAAATACGGATGAGAGCTTTATTATAGTGTTTTGACAGGGCCGGGCGGAATCGGGTAAGCCGCTAGTATTCTATTTTCATTTGGATGCTACCAAATCTGATATTTGTTTGTCCCAAGCCTCGTAGAACATCATACGGCAAACGCTAGGGTGTCATTCGATGCAGCTTCTTCTCCTCTTTTTGACAGATGTTTTCTCTTTCTGATTCGTAGAAGCCTCATGGGAAAAAATTCCACAATTTTTTGATGCGCCCCAGGCTGCACCCGAAAGTTTTAAAAATTCAATATTTCGAGGCGGTAAAAACTCATTCATCTGTTGAAATTAATGTTCAATCATAATCGATTCTTGGAAGCTTCATTTTGCAAAGATTTCATAGTATTCAAAGTGTTGTATATTTTACGACTTCGAAAATGTAAAGACTTTTGGAAAACTTGTTAAAATATAAAAAGCCACCTTCGATGCCAAAAATTTGGGTTTTTTGGCATTTCATTCACTTTATCCAACTGGGGGGGGGGGGGGACTTTTCATACGATCAGGGACTTAGCACCTAGCCTTCGCACCTACCTTACACCTACATCGCACCTCTCCATCCACGTAATGAGTAAGATTTTCCACTACGCCTAGGTAAGGGGGGGGGGGGAGAAGGGGGGCTTTTCATACGAACGCTCCCCGATCACTTTGACCTTCTAGCGGTATGCTAGGGTGCTGGTAATACGACAGTTATCGATTGCAATGGACTAGAATGAAACGTTTATTATCAAAAATGCGTAAAGTAAAGAATATCTTGGTTTTATCTGTTGTATAAAGCTTACTTTAAACGTTACTTCAAACATCCAGTAAGCCAATAAACTTTGTCCGGCACTTTTTGAATTCTCACATAGCATGAAACTGGAGTTTTAAGTTGATGACACCCAGGAAAATCGCGCCCCTTGACCGTCTCCCTCTCCAATAACACCTATGGGAAGAGCAGCACTTCCAGGTCATGCTGAAGGCTCGGAGAGGCATGTGACAATACTCAATCCAACTGCTATCAAAGCTTTTTTCCAAAGTCGAAAACGAAAATTTCAAAAAATAAAATTTGAGCATGTAAAAGCATGTGTTGGAGATTGTGGCGATTATCCAAAAGAGCAGTGGAAGAACCCGAACAAAGACACGCTGCTGAAAAGAGAAGGGGATTTGCGTAGAACAGCTTAGAGTGTTTGTCTATCGTTATTCTAAACCATTGCGTCACCTCCGCTTCACGGAGGTTCGCACTGGCTCTCCTACCCGTATGCCTTTCTCATGTTCGCATAAAGATGACATTTAAATTCCTCAAACGATATTAAACAAAATGAATTGTAAACAGCTGTTCATTCTTGAAGTACTCCACGTAAGATCGGTAATTTTGAGAAAGAAAACTTTTTCGCAAAGGAACACCTGCGAATTTCAATGGATTACTGAGTTTGTTTTGGCTTGTAATCGTTGGAAGGATTATATTGACTTTGCTTACATCTCCGTGCGAAAATATTTTAAAATCATAAGTTAAGACTTTGCCAAATCGACTATCTACGGGATCAACATTTTTGGCGCTGTTTTCGCAGAAAAGCAAACTTTTTGAGCTATTTGCGACAGAACTCGTGGGGCGCTGATTTATCTGGCAGGCAAATTGTGGCTCTGCAAAAAATTCAAATCTGAACTCAATTTTGCCGGCTTAAAGCCGTGTGGATACGTTTGACACAGAATTTTTGTAGCATCAACGCATCGGATCCGCTCGAAATTTTGCATAATGGGCCTAGATGCCGGCAAGGTGCTATGACTAAATTTTCAACTCAAGACATTTGTGGAACTCGCTCTACGAATTTCGTGACAGACAGACGTACAGACAGACACACAGAGAAACAGACATAAACAACCCTTAGCCCTTTATTATTGAGCCATGGATGATTTGAGGATAGCGTTAAAAAAACGGCCGGACTTTCGGATCCACCTAATAGAAAATGAAAATTCTTCAAAATCATATCTTACCGGATAATACTACTACATTTAATGTCCTCTAGACAAACATTCGGATTGGGAAACTGTTTCTCCCAATTCTGCTCTCATTGTCTGCGGAATAGCGAAGAATTCTATCTACTGGCTTTTTGAAAAGCAATATCTTCGGTTTTATAGTACGAAAAAATCTAAACTATAGAATTTTTGCGAAGAAAAACTCTAAAAAAGCTACAATAGTGTGACTCTTTTCGTTAGTGACTAAGGCCGCTCGCACCCGCGACGCACCTGCGTCTTTCTCGCGCGAGTGCTCTCTGGTCATTACCTAGCCTTAATTAGGTCACGAAGCCTCGCCTTCCCGAAGCCAAGCCAGTTGGATCAAATGGTACTTACATTGATAACTGCGTTAACATATGGTAAGTTATTCTTGTCAGCCATAGTGATCGCTCGATTTGATCCAATCACTCGGTCCAGCTCTTCATGCATTTTATCCTAAAATCTCAACTATCAAACAATCTTCTTAGTCCATTTTGCCTGAAAGTTCTACCTGAACATCCGGATAATTCAGAAGATAGACCGCACCCCAGGAAAGGGTATTTGATGTTGTTTCCATGCCAGCAAACCACATATCCAAGCAAACATTTGTTAGTTGAACATGACTGTAATTTACAGCTAATCATATACTTTACCACTGAGAAATTTTTCCATTATTTCTTATTACCTGAAAGATTCTTTATCTCCTTCAGCCTCCCTTCGTCGTTGTTCTTTCAAAAAAGCTTCCACATAGTCGTTGGCCTCGTTCGTATCATAATTTATAACTTTCTTATGTTCAGCAATTTGTCTATCGAAAAATGAGAAGAAGGCGTCGCGATAGCTTAGCATCCTGTGTGGAAATACAATTTTTTTGTAAAATTTTTCAATCGATACTGTGAATTCCTCACATTTTAGCTACAGTGTTGAAATATGGGAAGGCTGCAAGCCATGGGTAGAGGAAAAACATGCTGACTGCTGGATGTGCACCATCACGCATTTGTTTTGAGATGAGAGTTTTCAGCTCCCGAAACTCGTCAAGGTGCTTCTGAAAAATCCGAAAATTAAGTCACTCATAAATTTACACTTTTTGTTTTAGAAGATGAACAGCTTTGACTATAAAAAACTTGAGTAGTAGCGATCGCAGAATTTTTTTCGGGGCAGGGAGTGAGAAAAAAAGCAAAAGAAATTTCAACTTTGGAACTGTTTAGGGAAACGCCCCATAAATGTCTATAAACACTTGGGCTTAGGAACTAACTTTAGAAAAAAAGAGGCTCACTGAGCTGATCAGAAATTTCTGGATTTTTTGAGTTTGAATAAGAAATATAATGGTTCCAAATACTGACAACTAAACATCGAACGTTGAAGACGATGGAAAAGCTTCAGAAATGCTTCCGCATCACGTAATAGGCTCTGCATTTTCACAGAAATTTCAAAAACATTTCACTTTTTTATTTAGCAAACTTCTTTAATTTTGATTTATCAGATTTACCCTTTGAGAGTTATTAATTGAAGCTTAGTGTCTTGTAAGCGATAATTTTTTTGTTCTATCAGTTTTCAAATAACTCCATGATCTGGTCCCCTTTGCAAAATGTGCACTCGTTTTTCTGGTGATTGGGCCGATACCTTCCAAGGACGTCTAGCATGAATCTTTGCTTCGAGAAGAAATCTGCATAGAGGGAGGGTGTCCCAAAAAATGGCGGACACCCCTCTTCCCCCTTTTCTCATCCCCCCCCCCCCCCCCGAGAATGTTTCACGAAATCTCTGATTACTCATATGAGTTGTAAAATTGTGTGAATTGCTTTAACTTATGAATAATTGAAAAAATACTAAAATACTGAAATTTTCAAAGATCATGAAGAATCCAAATGACTTTGTAAAAAGATGCGGCGGTCCAGGGTCATAGGGCGGATAAAACGTTGAGAGGCATCCCAAAAAATGTTTTCAGAGGGCGTGGCTTACACCCTTTGAAAATACTTTTTTCGTGCCACGTCTCTTCATTCAAAATTTCGGCTCCACTGCTACATTAAAACTACAAAACCGCGAAGAAGCTGTACCTCATCAAATCGGTAGCCAAAAAGAAGCTGATTAATCACTGAACCGATAGCCACATCGAAAACATCCTAAAAATTTTTTTTCATTTATTTCCTTCCTCAACTCATTTTATGGTACATTTTACCTGTATGTTGACTTCTTTGCCTTGCTGTGCTTCCAATACATCTGTCATGGCTTCTACTTCCATTAGGATCTTTAATCTGTACATTTTGCGAATTAAGAGAATTCTAGATTTTTGTTTAGCCATTAGCTACGGAAACTTGAGAAGAGAAAGATTCGATTAACAAACTTTTGCCAATGATTTATTCTCACCCTCTGCTCCATGCCATTCTTGCCAAGACCAAGATCTTTCAGCACATGCAAAACAAATCTTCTCTGATCACGCCATCGTTCGCCCGAAAGCTCAATGATTCCGTAGTTTCCTCCTGGACAAATGAATTTTGCAAAATAATTTTCACAGTAATCGCTCACCTCTATAAATCGTTGTAACCTCTTCGAGTTGAAATTTTCCCGTATAAGCATCGCCATCTTTGACGAAGGTCTCTTTTAGTGTGGGATAATCGCTAATCATTACGAAAGGATGTGGTCCTAAAAGTTTGTGAAATGTGCAAAAGAGCGCCTCTAGGGTAAGCTACTGTACATGCGCAAAAAATTCGGTGAAATATTTCAACAAAAAATTCAAAAAATTTTCAGCTTTGGCTTTTTCCTTTTTTCGTTCTTTAAATAGTATAAAACTTGAATTAATATAGCAAGAAGAGTACACACCCATCCAAAAAGTATAAACTGGTCCATACTTTCGTCTCCACATCTCATACGCAGTATAGCCTGGTTCGTGTCGAATCAGCGTATGAAGATTTCCGATAAATGGTAATGGTGTAGGACCTGAATGGATGATTGATAATTTTACCTGCTTCACCAAAATACTTCTTTTGCCACTTGAATTGAATTAGATTTGGTTTAAGTTCACAATAACAACTGTTGGAAACTTCAAATCATGCAATAGGTTGGCCCGAAAGTTTTGTTGCATCATTTTCAAAAATCAGAGCTCGGCACGAGCTGGCACTAGGGAATTTTTAAGACGAAGTCCCCTTGATTTTCGCTAGGATTCACGAAGTCCCCTTCGACCCTAACCCTTAAATGTAAAAACCCTCAAAATAGGAAACGTCGACTAAAAAAAACGCAATTTTTGTCTTGTCCACAAAAACGATATCCCCAGTGCTTTTTGTCCCAAAACGGTATCCAGCTTGCCCCATGCCAGCTGATGGCAGGCCCTGTCAAAAATTCATAACCTCTCGTTTTTCTAACAGATTTGTTTATTTTTATTTCTGTTTGAAGAAGTAATTCATGTCGTTTCCTGGAAGCTTTTCGACCATGTATTGCAGAAATAAAAGCGTAGAAAAAAATCACTCAGATATTGACTTTCTGCGTCAGGTCGCCAAAAATCTGAAACTTGTACTAAAATTCGGAACTATTCTACAGGTTGTATGACCTGCTCTTTCCACCAGTGCGCAAATTATGTCTGAGCTTTTCTTGAAAAATAATCAATTTCGAAAAAAATGCTAAAAAATTCAAATTTGATATTGCAATTGAATTTACAAGTTTAGAGGGTATTAAGTTATTGTTTATGTTATTTCAAAAGCTATAAGCGTATTCATCTTATTGAGATACATAAAAAGATTTCTCTGCGGAACTCACCTGGTGGCAGATTCCGTCGCTTCCAGTAAAGTTCGTAGAAAAGCCAGAGTGATATCAAAGCAAGCACGAGTTCAATTATCATTATCTATTCAAAAATCAATATTTTTGTCTTTCTTTCAAAGCTTGTTCGATCGATTCGCGATCGAATGCCAATTGCACAACGTTCGTTTGCTCTTATTTCGAGTATCGCATAGTAAATGTCTATAGTTTTTAATCTGACAGAGTAGAAATAATTAATTAGGTAAAGACCAAAAGCTGCAAAAAGCCAGGACGTCAAAACATGACGTTAAATGACAAAGGCGGCTCCGCTTGACTCTGATAACAAATATTTTGCTTGTTTGCGTTCTCTGACTTGGAGGTGTTCTAGGCAGAACACTGCTATGTTTGCTGACTGGTAGGATCGAAGAACAACAAGGTCTTGCGAATACAGGAACAGCTGACACTGCTGATTTCCGCTACTGCTTTGCTTTGAAATCGTGCACACAATAAACGTACCTTTTTCAGCATTTCTCACTTTTTTGGAGGCCTCGTATACACAACTACTAGGATGGTCAATAAATAAGTTCGCTATAACATGCAAATGCAAATTCAAAGTTCAGTAGTAACAGTAACAGTTCAGTAGCAGCTATTCTGCTAAGATTTTTTTGTAAGAGGATAGCTTCAGGCCACTCTGAAATTTCGAATAGTGAAGGTTTCTGCCACCAAAAATGGCAGTTATACCCTTATGTAATTTTCTAAACAACTAATTAGACTTCTAACTAGACTTCTAAAAAATCGCTTTTTTGTAGTATCGTTCTCAGCCTGCAGTAAGTGTACAGTCGAGCAAACTAGTGTTTGGATACATTTAATCTTTGGCTGGATGGTGAACCACAATATAGATTGTGACCTAGTGTTTGTGCATTTCTGCGGCCAAAAATGTGAATATTTCAAAAATGTTTTTGAGCGTGGATGTCAAATTTTGAGCAATCCGTATTGGTCGAAGTTGACCATCTACGGCCATGCAAATGGCTGAAAACTCAAAAATTTGTTCTGTGGGTACGAATCTACATTCTTCATCTTACTTCAGTTCGCTTTTCGAGCACGACTCTACGAAAATGGGGGAAAAATCTGACCATTCTTCCCAAAAATCCTTTTCGAAGTTTATGCGAACCACCTCTTAAATTTCGAAAAGGGGCATGGTAGCAAACACGCCCTGAAAATTTGCTTGCTATCTCGATTACCTATTGATTTGAAAAGTTGTTTTCAGTTACTCAAATATAGAAGAAAGCCTTTTTCACAGTCTTTCATATAGGCCATTACCGAAATTTTCTTCAGGAAAATTTTTTTTGCAGAACTTATCTCTCCCCCGTCCGCGCGGTTTGCCACTGCTATGTACATACAGAGTATCTCCAAAAGATGTATCGAACTCTGATCTTTGACTACTCTTGTCACGAAGTATTCAGAGAAGCTTCAGGTACCATTTTGTAAAGCTGGCTTCCTTAGATCTACAGTATGAACGAATACAATCATTCTTCATTACCGAAGTACGGTAGGAACTTCCGGCATATGGCGTCATTGTGAAATCTATCGTTTTACTTTATTTTAGTAAAATCTGGGAACTTGTTTGACATGGTTTTCAGGAGCTGAGATTGATACTCAACTTTGTGCAGATTGTGAAGCTTTCTATACGGTGTAGCACATTTTTCAAAACGGCTTCTAATGCTTACCTGGCACAACTTTTTAGCGAAAGGCTATGATAAGATTTAGACATAATGTTTAGAATCAGCTACTCTAACTAGCCTAATGTTAGAGTTCTCAGGTCATGGCCCTTCATGGCTGGAAAACCTCTTCAAGGTTAGCAATGAAGGGGGGTCGCTGATTTGCCCTGTAAAACTAGAAAGAGAAAGAAGGTCGGTCGGTTATAGTCTTTCTCTGTCTTTTGAATCACGTTTTACATCAGAGTGCTCGCTTTGAAACGCTTATCTAAACGACGCTGACGATGAGCAATTTTCTCAAGTTTGTTCTTGTGGACGAGATGTTACCGCGCATTTTTACGCCTGGCTGTATGTATGTATATATGCATGCATCTATTCGTAATGTATGAGTGTGCATGTGGGTGGGGGCAGTAGCCCACCTGTGGGAAGCTCCAGCAATTCTCAGCGAATTCGTCAAAACCGGCCGCGAAAGTAGGCGGAGCTTGCAACTGAGGAGCGGAGCATACCTGACAAGGGGAGGGGGGGGGGGGGTAAGTTCATAGCTGCTTGAGGCTCCGGGAATTATTGGCGACCTCTTCTACGCCTTTTGAGCACAAAAAAGTTTCTTGCAGAAGGCAAATGGAGTGGGCGGAGTTTGCCAAAGCGGGGTGGGGCACGAAAAACTCCTGAGCTCAAATTGATTGTATGGGCACAAACTAGAACGATCGAGCACATAAAACTCTCAGAATTTAGGGTGCCGCACACCAGTGCGCGGCACTGTCGTGACGTACCCAAACTATGTTTGTTATCTGCGGAATGCTTTTCCAATAAATAATGGTACTTGCATCGAACGCAAAAAGATTCTTACCGATAGAGATCAAACCGGATTCATAGTGCATTCAAGACTTTTAGACCTATCTGCATTACTCGTACTCTCGTGCAAGCATGTCAGGCTGCCTTCATACCGCGCCGGCAGCCGCCGCTAGCTGCCTGTGGCCGCTTTGGCACAGTATCCTAGTATTCCGAGGCCTTTACAAAACATCAAATGATTAGATATTTGTAATCAGAATTCCAAATAAAGACACTAAACCATTATTGAGCAAGATTCGTAGTTTCATATTGAAGGCCCGGATACTGAAATAGTGCGCAAAGGCGGCTAGCGGCGGCTGCCGGCGCGGTATGGCACCCCCAGATGCAAGGAGATACGGTTTTTCTAATATATCGTACCGCAAATAACGAACACAATTTTGAAATCAGCATTAAAAGGAGAATGTCATGACATATCTGGCATATCGAAAGGCACGGCCGCCCATTATTTTCCCCGTAAGACGGCGTATTTTTTAAGATTCTGGTTCTCGACAGACAACACTTAAAAGGGAAGGATACTTGGTCGAAGTGCAGTATTCATATGGGATGTATACTTTCTTATAGAGCATGGAACGCTGATTCCGAATCTACTCTCGTTGTCTGCAATGAGCTTCTGGGATGGGAGGTATGGAACTTTTATGAGGAAATAATTCAAGGTTTCGGATAGGGCAAGAACGAGTACTTCCGGCGCTTTCCGGCGCTTAAATGGAGTAACGACTAGCTTGAACTTATTAGACTGAAGGTATCAACTGCACGAAGTCTCCCGAGTAATCATGACTTCATCTAAATTCGCAGACCACACTTTTGAATGATTTTATTGTAGCCAAGTCTTGGAATTTGCGTCAATAACTTTCCATAACTCCCCTTCCGGAAGCACTTTGCAGATAACGAAAGCAGATTCGGAATCAGCATTCCATGCTCTATAAGATAGTATACATTTCCTTAAGAAACGCCACTTCGACCAAATATCCATCCCTTGTTAGATCGACCTACTTTTTTCACTAATTGGTAGAATAACACTACCAAAACCTTTAGAAGGTATTCTCGTTAAGTTTCACTTCCAAACGCAACATTTGATAAGCACGATTATTTGAAATATTTAGGCTGCTCTATTCATCGCATTTGTGGCTCTAAAGAGGGCTGTTGAGTCACATCCTTGAGGTCATCATTAAACGTTGTTATCCGAAATTGTAGGAAGTGCTGAGTCGTAGATGCGTCGATGGTTGGTGATATCCGGAAATTGATGGTCTTTGAGTGCTCACGATAGTGACGGTGAGTTCCCTAGATGAAAATGCATGCTAGTATATTTTTATCATGAGGAGTGTACTTTTATCAGTCTCTTTTGCATTCGTTCTACTTACCTTCCTTTTTTGTTTTAATCAGTGAAGAAGTTTTTCAAACCCAAAAGTGGAGGTCTTCACATGTACCAGCTCAAGAAAGAAGCTAGGAGAAATATTGGCTCCCACTATCACAACTATGATGGTAGGAACTTCCGGCATAGGCGTCACTGTGAAATAGGCCTTTGATGAAAAAAGTCCCGGAAAATTCCGGGTTGTATAACAGGGATTTGTGGAAGCTGATTTCTTTACACAACTTTTTACAAGGTTTCTGAGCTTCTTGGTATGTAATCACGTTTTTTGAGGACTTTGCAAAAGCAATTGTTACGCTTACTCGCATTATAGGGGCCTGCAGGATCGCGAGAGTCGGACGCGCGTACGGCCTTTGCGCCGCGCACGCCTGATATCGCTGGGTCGTAGTCGATTAAGGCTAGATAGGTAAGTTTTTTTTGTTTTTCTTTACATTTCACGCCTTCTTTTCTTTTCAGACGGTGAGCACATGTTGGTGCGGAGAAGTTTAAAATCTGAATTAAGGTGAGGTGCAGGATTATGCTCAATACGGACTCAATATTGCAGACCTTCCATGCCTGCTGGTTGAGATGTTGGATTTTCTGTCCTGGCTGCCCTGTTACAGCAAACTGTTCTATTTCTACCGTCTATTCTACCTTATCTTGCATATTGCTTGTGATGATGATGATGATGATGACAATGATTATGATTGTGATGACGCGCATGATGCAAGATGAGGTAGAACAGACGTTGCAAATAAAACGGAGTTTCGTAACCGGGCAGGCAGGACGAAAAATCGAACATAATCGGACAGCCAGAACAGAAAACTCAACATTCTTCAAAGCAGGGGTGAAAAGTCCACAATATTGGCCCGTATTGAGCATAATCCTGCACCTCACCTTAATCTAGATCTTAGACTCCTCTGCACCAACATATGTTCGCCGCCTGAAAAGAAAAGAAGGCGAGAAATGAGAAGAAAAACAAAAAACTTACCTATCTAGCCTTAATCGACTACGACCCAGCGATATCAGGCGTGCGCGGCGCAAAGGCCGTACGCGCGTCCGACTCTCGCGATCCTGCAGGCCCCTATACCTGAACTTGCGTAACAATTGAAAAAAAGCCTGGTAGTAACACATGTTTCCAAAAATTTTGACCAAAAGAAGAGAATTTTCCACTCAAAGGCGGCCAAACACTTTTCTCCAAAAAGCCCTACTTTGCAAACCGTAACTTGCTATGATAGTACAGCACAAACCATGATATTCTATGCGCCACAGTCGGTTGAGAGGTAATCTCAGGCTATACTATCCGCTCAACTCATTCTCAGCAGAAATTGCAGTTTGAGTTTACTTTCTCGCCGACAACGGGCAAAGTTTCAGTGTTTCTTTGTTATCAAAAGTTTTACCCAATAATTTTCATGTTTCAAGCTATTCAAACTCTACAAGCATTAACGGAGCTGTTGCATAAACACGCCGGCACTATCAACATGTTTGGCCTTAGTAGAGCGAGAGTAATGACCCTGGTTAATGTGTTTAAATTGTAACATCTTCAAATGGTCTGGGAACTAATATGCCCAGATTCGCGGACTGGCCATGGGTCAAAGGGGCACCGGTCATCTGCTTTATGAGCAGAATTGGGGAACCAATGTTACGACGAATGCCTTTGATGTATTGCAGATACATCGACGATTGTTGTGTAATAACTGCAACACAGTCCGAGATGGACGAATGTTTCAAAATTCTGCATGAACAGTCGCAATACATCAAATTTACATGCAAACAACCACGAAGCGATTGGCTGCCCTTTTTAAAAACCGCAATCAACTTAGCCAACGGCATCATAAGAATGAAATGGTGCCGCAAGGAGAGCAGCAGGATCATTCTCTAAACGCAAAATCAGCACATCCTACGCACGTTAAACGAGCTGTAATCAAGAATATGTTCAAAAAGGCAGAAAAGGTGTGCTCCGGTGAGAACGAACGCCAGGAATCGCGAAGCTTAGCTCTACAGATAGCATACCTTAAAGGTTATTCATTGCCGCGTTCAAAATGTTCTCAATGCAATGACCGCACCAACTACAGCAGCATTAGAGATAAACTTCCACTTTGCCTTTCATTCATTTCGGATAAGATCAGTTCCGCCTTTCAGTAGTGTATTTTTTGAGCGCAGCTACAGAATGAAGTAAAACTAGTAAGCACGAATGACAGCATTAAGAAGAGCTCGTCAGAAATAGACTTTACGACCGTATATCAGAAGAGTGCGTAGTATGTCCACATGGAAGGGTAGGAGATTGCGCAAAAGTGGGAGTTGTCTACCAAATAAAATGTCTCAGCTGCAACGCGCTTATATTAATGAAAACAGGACGAGTATTGAGCATTCGCATCTGGCAAGTAAGAGACGACAAAGTCGGGTAGCACCGCTTGGTAGGCATAGGAACGAGGTTCATAGCGGAAATGATTTTGAAGTCAAATGCACGTTATTAACTTTTGAAAAGGAGATCTCAGCTAGGAAGGCGCTCGAAGCCTTCTGGATTTCTACCAAAAATGAACAACAAGAACGAGTGCCCGTCGACAACTGCTGAATTCTTATCCTTCGTATTCTTATGCGAGCTGTAGAGTGTAGATAACATTCACTGCACACTCTACTGTGTTACTCATTCGTCTGCCATGGTCACTTACTTCCGGTGGACGACATAGCGGTGGTGCAAGGGTATAGGGTTTGCTGATTTTTGCGGAGTAAACTCTCAACGACGTCGAAACTAGCAAGATTAGAGGAAGCATTTGTCGGCCTGGTGTCGCAGGTTTTACTTTGAATTAATTCCAGGCCTTTAAGGACGACGAAGCTGTTGAAACGTTAGGCTGATTGAATAAACTTGCCTCCCAAACCTGTTCGGCACAGCAGAGTCTTGCATTGTCTTATCCAAATTTATTGTATAGAGCAAGGCTTCGCGGTGTTTCCTGGGGATCCCCAAGGGATCACACAAAGCAGTGAAAATCACTGCTGTCTGAAAAATTTTACTATTCATTATACTTAGGTATCAAGGTATACGAACGTTCATAACATGGAGAAAAAAGAAAAACAGATATCTGGAGTAGCGAAACATAACGCATTTCCTCTCAGATCCCCCGCCCCCTCCCCAGCGGAAATGTGCGTGCATACGGGCCCTAAAACTACGAGAGCATGCATAAATAAAACGAAGGGGTGTCGTAGAAAGTTTTGGGTGTTTACAAAAAAGAGATTTTCTTCATTGCAATGCAAAGAGGCACAAAAAGGACAGAACTTCTGAAATGCCCCATTCATATAAACATATGTTGCATTTTTGTGGTTAGCGAATAATAACAAAAAAAAAGAAAAATAGCATTTCACTTTCAGCAACCTGCATAATACAGCAGCAAGTACAGAATAAGAATAGATTCAATGCCAAAGGATATTAATAATTTCACATTGAATCCCTAGACAACCTGATACATTTTTCATTTTTTCATTTTCATTTGTACGCTCAAGGCGTTCCAATACAAACAAAAGAAAAAGAAACACAAAACACACATCGGAAGTTAGTAATACAGCGGAATAAGCGATAAACGAATGCAGACATCATCATATGAATCCGAGTCTAATCCTAGTCAGACTAATGTAAGAAAGATGAAACGGCTTGCACTGAATAGGTTGATAGGCTAATAGCTAGATATGTACAAAAATGTAGGCATTGATAGGCATTGATACTCATAACTCCAAAAGTTATAACTCCAAGGAGATGGGACTCATGCCCCCTCGTTGCCAGCGGAACGATCTTTGTATTATATCTTAAAAGCAAACCGACAGCTTATCAGGCGGGTCTACTGGCACAGGTTTAATAACCATAACCCCGCCTAGCCGGAATGCTGGGGAGGCCCAATGACCCCTAAGGTGAAAAGATTCACATACAAATCACTCGGTTGAATCAGCAAGCTGTATGATTGAATACTGAATAGCTGAGCGAAAAAGACTCGGACTAAGACGATGATGAGAGACTGGTTAGTAACTAGAAGAAAACGAGTACACCAAAATTACAAGTATGACGCAACGTGAGGAGACACACGAAAGACGTCAAAGCCATAATTTATAGCCATAATTGAAAAGCAAACCATCATAAGACCAAAGAGCACCTGAAATGGCAGATTTTAAATATGAAAATTGGAAGAAAAAGTGGTAGGAAACAAAGCCTATATCGGAGATCCTTCCATAAACACAGCCGTATAGCACATCCCAAGCAAATGAATACAAGTCCAGCATCTCTGATATAAAAAGGCTATGACCGTCAGGCAAAGCTAATCAATTTCAGCGATACTTGACAAGTCAAGTCTTCTTAGTCTACTCCTGAAAATATGACTACTATCTGCACTAGTGGTATCAACAGGAAGTCGCGAAAGCCACCTAGCTCCCCTACAAAACACATTATTAAACATCAGTAAGTATTTTCTGCGTCGAATTCTTGGATATTGCAGGTTAAAAGAACCAGACCTTTCACTGGTAGGAACAAAAATCCAGTACTTGCTAGCTTTTAGTTTGTTCTCTCTCCTCAAAACTTGAAAGCAGAATACAAGGTCCGAAAATAATCGCCGATGTGTTAAAGACTGCATATGAAGCTTCTTAGGACGGTCGTGGTATTCAGGTGGGGCCATTCTGGGTGATACACGTCTGTACAACAACCTCGTAAAAAGTTGTTGAACCTTTTCTACTCTACGCATATCTTTTTTGCGGAAGGGAGACCATATCTGAGAACAATATTCCAGGTGAGGGAGAACAAACGCTTTATAGAGCGATACCAGTATCCTTGGGGAGTTGGTACTAGTATTTCGAAAAAGCATGAAAAGCGAGGAATACGCTTTCTTGATTGTCATATCGACGTGCTTAGTGAAGCTAAGGTTAGTATCAATCAGGACGCCCAGATCTCTAACAGCATCACATCTTTTCAGCGTAGTGCCTTTGATGTGATAGGAGATTGTAGAAGCATTACCAAGATGAAGCGTTGAGCACTTGTTAAGGTTCAACGCTAGATCCCAGCTATCACACCATTTGATCAAATTATCAAGAGAAGTTTGCAAAGCCAGCTGAACTTCTGAGGCTTTCTCTTCATCATATGCTCCATAAATTTTTATATCATCAGCATACATTTTTACTTGTATGCTAGGAGAGGTTCTCAAAACAGATGGTAGATCGAGGGTATAAATCAGGAAGAGCAAAGGGGCTAACACACCCCCCTGAGGGACACCACTAGTGCAGCAGTACTTTTTGGAGTAATGATGTCCAACTCTTACAGTCATATGTCGACCATGCAAATAAGATGCAAACCAGGAAAGCAGATTACCTCCGATTCCGATTTTGCTTAATTTAGTCAGTAACTTAGGATGGCAAACCTTATCAAATGCCTTAGTAAGGTCAACGTAAATGATGTCAACAGATTTGCCCTCATTGATCGCCAAGCTCCAATCGAACACACTGTCAACCAAATTGGTGGTGGTAGAAGCACCGTTCAAAAATCCATGCTGTTCATCAGGGATTAGACCCGAGTTGTTGAGCCAATTAATTAATTTACCTCGTATAATTCTCTCCATGATTTTGACAGGGGTAGGCAGTAAACTGATAGGGCGAAAACTGGTGAGAAAAAGTGCTCCATCAGCTTTAGGTATGGCTGTAACCAAGGCTTCTTTCCACAGAGGCGGAACTTCTCCCAACATCATAGATATATTGAAAATGTGCGCGAGTGGAGCCGCAAGCGATGACGCGCATTTCAAGTACACAATTTGCGGTATACCATCAAAAGTCTCCGTATGAGAGGGCTTGAGTTTTCTAAGGAAGTTGTACACACTAGATGGATGAAAGTAAACGTCAACACAGCTATGAGTTGGCGTCACATTAACATCCATCGAAGTAGTGTATGCAACATAATTACTGACAGGAGAATAAACACTAGCAAAGTAAGTACCAAGGGCTTCGGCTTTATCAGTATCACTAATGTACGAAACACCATGGGCATCTTTAAGAATGGGAAGTTTAGCAGTAGGTTTCATTTTTTTTCTCAAATACAGAAAAAGGTGTTTGGATGAAGTCTTAGCAGCAAGTTTCTTTTCACGATAGGCTGTGAATTTTTTTAAATGATGGTCTATGTCGGCACAAACTTTTTTGTAGAGTGGGTCACAAAGAGGGTTATCTATGGTATCAAAAAGATGTTGTTTCTGCAAAAATAAAGCACGCATCGTACTAAACAGAATCGTTTTTATATTTTGGATTCAAAAAATGCATAGATGAATGTTGCACCATATAGCACCTTTTCACATAGAAATGGAAACAAACAATAGACGGCGATGATATAGCATTCATAATGTTTTATTCATGGCAGCTCGACATTTCCTATAATATATCGCTGTTTACAAAGGTAATACTGTTAACTGAGAGCTTAGCTTGGCAGCTCAGCGTAAGCGAATGACTACTTATTCCATTTTCGTCTTTTCTGTGTTAGCCACCGTCACGTGAGTTGTGCTTAATTTAACTCTGTCTTACCTTGGTGCAGTTTTTCTCAGTTTTTCTTACACATTTATTTTGCAACGCATATGTTTTCAAAAAGCTTCAAAAGTTGCTTGAAATTCATTATAGTTTTCAATATATCGCTACTATCTTGAAATTTGTTCTTTGAAGGCAGTTAAGAACAAAACATTTAGGAGCTTATACTGTATATATACAATTTTTGTATATATTTGGTTGAGCCGAAAGTTGTTTCGCAATATTTTAAAAAAAATCGTAACTTCTTTCTGTTACTATAAACCTGAACTTCAAAAATAAAATCAGGAAGAGCGAAGCGTCTACTTTTTGAAGACGCCTTGCTTTCTCTTTATTAGGCTTTAGTTGCGGAGATAAAATTGGGAAAATGAAACCACTTCAATTTCGGAATTTTGAGGCAAGCCCATTAAAAATTCAAAAACTATGCCTCAAAACTGAAGACAAGCAGTGAACTGGTTTTTTGGTCCCCTCTTTTTAGCTGAGAAAAATTCGCGTTGATCAAGCTCTTTTTTGAAAAGTTATGATTTTTGGGAAGAAACGCCAAAAAATCAGTTTCTTGAGAGAATTGATTTTATGACATTTTTTCTCAAAAATCATAACTTTCAAAAAACAGTTTAATCAGGCATGTTTTGCTCCCACTAGAAAGAGGAGGTCAAATGATTTAGGTTACAGCCTGTTTTGGAATTTATGACGCAGTTTTTGAATTTTTAACGGGCCTGAAAATTCCGAAATGAAGTGATTTCCTTTTCCCAACTTTATCTCCACATCCAAAACTTATTAAGGAGAAATCAAGATGTCTTTAGAAAGTATACGCTTTGCCCTTTCTGCTTTTTGTTATGCAGGATAATATAGTAGAAAAAAGTTACGATTTTTCGAAAATGGTGCGAACGAATTTTATGTTCAACCTAATATATATATACATACACAATTTTTGCAGACAACTGTCGAATTTCTTTGACTAATCCATCATGACCATAATTTTGATAGGAAAAACTGACAATGAACAGCCTCGTTAGAAGTACAGAAACCTATTGTTACGTAAACATCATGGTCAGTAGTAAACCTAACGAAACATGCAGCTGAAAGTCAGCGTCCCTCACATTAAAAACTCTTTACCTACTGTATAAAGGTATCAGAACTACCAGACAAACCCGACCTTAGACGCGCTTTGTACAGCAAAAATAGTGAAAAGGCGTGCAAGTCACTATGCCACTTTTGAGCGAATCGTTTCTGCCTTTGACGAGTTTTTGTGTAGAGATGAGTTTCAGTTATTCCAACTGGGACACGCTATCTCAAACTTACGCCTTAACTGGTGAATATTGCCAATTTTTACAGTAAAGAAATTGAGAAAAGTTGCAATTATTCCTACGAGTTCCTCCTCAGCGGCAGAATGCACATGCCGCCATAATTAAAACCGGAATGTCTAGCAGTTTTTCATCTCGACCTTACTACTGTAGCATTCGTCTAAATTTCCAAATGACTCTGTGAGACACTTTTTCGTCATTTTCGTGCTTTGTAAGATAGATTCTTGGTAGCGCAGCTGTACAGATAAGCAAAACCGAGAATTCGAACTTTAGCCGAACATTGCTTTCAAGGTGCTCATGCTAACTTTTACTGCTAAAGCACTAATCCGCTGTGGCTCTTAAAGGCATCAACGAAGAGGCTATTCAACGGACTAAAACATTCTAAGTGCCCATGAAATTAAGCCATGAATAAGCGCAAATAAGGCAGATATGGAAATCGCGAGTTTGCCGGGCGCTTACGTAAATTCAAAGTTGAGAACAAGGATCTAAACAGACTCACTACAAAACAACGATGTTGCAGGATCACCTGTATCATCTGTATCCCCGTACTTTATTGTATTATATCAGCAGCCACCATCAATGCATTCATTCTTTTCTGTCGCGGGCCATTGTTGACCACTGTTTGCGTATCGCATCAGAATGTATCGTTTGTTCTCCAGCAAGATTTTCATAGCTACCACGTCATCTCGCTGCCTTTCTTCTGAACATGATAACCTTGTCAGTTCCGTAAATAATCCCAGGAGAAACGTGTCAAAAAGAACGATAGGCAGCGTCGCACCACCTATGCACGCTGGTTCACAAGGGAACTTTTCTGAGGCACACAGGATAGAGCGCTTTGAATGACTTCATTAAAGGACTCCGTGAACATAACTGGCCATTGCGGCGTTTGGCATCTAATGGTATCCAGTCTGTTACAGCTCTCGTCCAGCGACTGTCGTCAAAGTGCAAGTGTCCGGCCGATCTTATCCTGTTCTGCGTAGCATATGCAATAGTGTCCCTACTCTTCGTTCATTGACGTAGGGTAGAACGTATTCTTCTTTCACTTGCGTGAGTCGGTTCACTCCTCACATCGCTCCCTCAACATCATGTTCGATTACACTAACAGCGTGTGCATTCCGCATCCTCACTGTCCATAATTCTGTGGCGTACGTCAAAGCAAGAAGAAGCCTTGAGTTGAAAAGGTGTGCGCGGAGCCAGATTTTTTGGTCTTCTTCACTACGTCCTCGATTGTCATGTTTCCCCTCCTCAAATCCGAAATTACACTGTTCATCATAATGAATTCCCGACCTAGGTAGGTGTGGTTTGAGAATTGAGCGTTTGCTGGTGTCCGTTCCGTTAAGCATGAAAAGAGCATCAAGCACTTTTCCGTTCCTCATAAACATCGTCATCGCTAAGCTTAGCCATAGACCAATCTTTCACATACTTCGTTAAACTGCGCCAACATTTGTTCCGCTTGTGCGATGCTTGGTGTTGTCAACACGATGTCATCAGCAAAGGTGATGTAGTTGCCAGTCTCGACTAACACTCCCATTCGTCCCATTCCAGATTACGCATGACGCTCACTAAGGCGGCACTAAATAGCTTGCGACATTATTGTCTTGTCGTACACCTCTCTTCACGTCAGTGATGACGTCCCTGTAGATTAATGTGAAGGTGGTTGTGAAGCTGTATAGCTAGAATTACCTTAATATACTGAGTGGGATATCCTGGTTACTCAAGGCATCGATGATGGCTTTGATCTCAACCGAGTCAAAGGGTTCCTTTATACTACGCCGCAGCATGCCGCGTCCTGCGTCGTGCGCCGATGCAGTCGCAGTGAAAATATACCCTCACGGCAGCACAGCTCCGCCGGTTATGGATGTATATCTATATATAAGTGGCGTACCGAGGGGGGGAGGGGGGGGAGGGCGCGCCCCCCCCCCCCCCCCCGCGAAAATGGGTCGCGAAATTTTTGAAAGTTACTTATATGGGTTATAAAAATGTGTAAGTGACTTGTTTATTTTTGTAAATAATTAAAATAATTTTTAAAAATTTTTAAAAATTCAAATTAGCCTTGTAAACAAATTTTTTTCGGGGGCGTAGCTGACGCCACGCCCCCTTTTCCAGATTTTAGGGGTCGGGGACCCGAAAAAATTTTGGAGAGCACTCCCAAAATTTTTTCGGAGTGCGTGGCTAACGCCACGCACCTTCTTTAGAAAAAAATTTTTGTCGCGCCCCCCCCCCCCCCGAGCCGAAATCCTGGGTACGCCACTGCTATATATCTATATTTGCTGCACGTTCGTGTTCTTCGAGAGTGTTCCTTCATATCGAGCGAGCTTATAATTCCACTGCGACTACAGCGGAGCACGCCGCGGGAGGCGGCGTGCTGCGGCGTGCTGCCGCGTGCTGCGGCAGGCTGCTGCATCCTGCGGCGTAGTATGAAGGAACTCAAAGGCAGGGTCACGCGTGCGTTGTGACATGTCACACCTGGGGGTCGTAATGAGGAGTACGGGAGGCGACGGGTCGTTATTTTGAGATGGTTCTCATGTTGGCGATGACGTGATATTCGTTAACATTGTTGGATAGGCTCAATATGCAAAAACACAACGATGTTTTGGCCTACCGTCCTATACTACAGTAAGCATAATAAAAGAGCCCTAAAGCATAAGAGCATCACATAAGTAGCATGCCAAATAACCTCCCTGTGGGTCAGTTTTAACGAGTTCTGATTTCCACATATTGGGCCACCCGACTGTGATGGTCATTTTCGAACATGTTATCTTTGTTTTAATGTTGAGTGAAGTACTTCTTTTTACGCTGTACAAAGAGCTACTATTTTTTGCTCACACTAGGAATCTTACTCCATATAATTCCCAAACTAAGGAATTAAAGGCACCGTCCATCCTAAGTTGAGAAGAGCTTTTGGCAGCATATAACACCAGGGTCTCTTACAAGCCAAGCCCAAGTCGCAACGCATGTGGCGCTTCGGAAGCGAGAAAATCGCTTCGGAATAGCGAAGATGCACGAGGAGCCCGCCCCTCCCAAACCATGCCCACCCATTTGTACGCGCTCATCCAATCACCTTTCTAGAAAATCGGCCTGCGAGTTCTCCGGAATGGGAATTGTCCGGGTTTTCGCAGATTTTCGACTTCATATTTGGAATCAGAGACACGAGAAGGCCTTGAAACAACAAAAACCTGTAAATCGAGAACCTGGGTGGACGGTGCCTTTAAGAGCAAGCCAAAATCTCGTTTGTTTCATTTCTCGCTTTCAATATCTCACTTAAGGAAGATCAATCAAGCTTAATTCATTTCTATATAATTCACGAAGCTTAGACTATCGAACATATTGATTCCTGTCGCCTCTCTCGCGATTTACGTAGTATCGCAGACTTAGCATGTTATTGTAACCCAATATCTTCGCAGTATCTTCCATTTTGCGTAGTAAGGAAAAACTACTATATCTTTTCTCAAAAGAAACATCTCAAATGAAATTCCTACTGTGTAAAGAAGAAGGGTAAGCTCGCCAAAACCGAACATCCCGGAAATTTGACATGAGAGGTTGCTTGCACCCCAAATATGAGAACAGAGCAGGTCCAAGCGCATAGCAAACTGCCCTTGCCTAGAAAACTGCCCCTGAACCCGTTACGCGCAAGCCATTCTAATACGCGCGTACGAGCTTGCGATTTT